TATGAATTCTTGAATATTGTGGTCCCTGAAGTTGTTAAATTTCATTTTCAACGTTTGTTTAACTTCATGTCGATACCTGAACTAAAGGCATTTTATTCGGGATTAACTAAACAGATGCCTTATCGCAAATGTTCACCAATCATTAGTTATTAGGTGGTTGCGTTTGATACGAGATCAAGGTCTCTGTACAATCAATTTATTGACAATCTGTCAAATTATGTTATTTAGTTAAGTTTTAGTTCATCCTGTAATTTAAAACGATTGTACTCGCTACAATCGGGCAGGGAAATCGGACTTTCTTCAATACTTTCCAAAAGTTGTCGAATATCACTAGGCAGAACATACTTTTTTTTGCTGTGCACTTTTCCATCAAGGTAATAAACACATTTTTATTAATGATTAGATCTTATTTGATTGACCAGGAATCTATAAACGGAAGAAATAAATGCATACTTAAGTTACTATGTGTGGTAAATCATGTCTACAAAACACAAATTGCGATTGGTGTTTATGTCGATAAAAATTACAGTTGTACATATTGTTCCTTGTTCAGATCTATGATGTCGTCAAACATATGTTGCAGTATTGTCAGTATTATCATACGTCATAGTAAATGGTACGCCGCGAAACTGAATTTTTAAGGTTTTAAGATTATCGTTTTTTTTGAAGATTATTTTGTCGTTGGATTTTACTCAACTTCGAGTAAACTTTTCAAAATTCCGAAAGTTGTATATAGTGATTAAGTAGAAAACTTGGATCTTTTATACAAAGTTTAGTAGTTTCTTTGACAAAAGATTTGCACATTTGCAACGTTTTTATTCAGACTGAAGAATCATGATTATTCACAATAACAAGTTTTATCATTTATTTCACTTTTATGGCAGCATGCGCCATGTACGCCATCTCTACATAGATCTGTTGTTAAATAGTCCAATAGCTTCCCAGTATCCCAATTGGCAATAGGAGACCAGAATTTCATTAGTCAAACTGGAAAGATAGAGTGTACGCACATTGGAATCACTAGTTCAGATTTAACAAAATAATTATACATGAATGCTAATAGAATATCAGCTTATAATAAAACAAAATGATTTTTGAATGTAGTTCGTTTACTATTTTAATCAGCTTCTCGTCTGGATAAAAAAACTGTTGTAAATAACATTCATAACGTTGTTGTTTTGTCTTTCAGTTTCGATTCTAAAAAGCTTGATATTGTGACATTGGAAGACTCAAAAAAGAGAGTTTACCGAAGACAAAACGTGACAAATGTATTTTGTTTCAAGTTTTGAAATATATGATTGATTTAACATGAAAGTAGATAATTTTTTACATCTTTCCATTTGTTTTGGCAGTGATGAGAAATTTCTACAATTCAAAGATATTAGATGGCAGTAACAATTAGTTCAATTAGTTAGCCAACCGCTGCCATTACATTTCCTAGCACTAGTGAAAAGTAATAGTGTTCCTACGTAATAAAAAAAGGCGTAAATAATAAGGCTTTGACCGAATACCTAACTTGTGCCTCAATCGGCCGTACCTTTAGCATCACCGGTAACTTCAAAAAACTTGCAATTTTTGAGTAGCAACGAATTGCAGAATCCGCCTTCACGCCGACGTTCGATGGCACGTGATCATGCGTCCGCAGAACGTTCGGTGACGTCATAGAAAACAAAAACAAATCTCACAGAGCTAACAGAAATATTTGAAATAAATAAAATTAATGGCCTTCTGGAGAAAAATTTTATCTGTAACCACTGAAAATTTCATAGCATGTGGTCCAGTAATCAATGAGAAAAGCGATTCCTTCAAAACGTGTCAATGGACAACAAGAATAAGAACAACATAACAACAAAACGATCGCTATGTCCACTACGTGTCCAATTATGGTTCAAATATTCCTACCACATTTCTGTTTTGCTGAAGGTAAGCTTTCGACGATAAAATATAGAATGAAAATAAAGCACGAATAACCCCGCCAAAACATATAAAACATTCTTCTGACCTGCGAGCAGTAAAATATATAGTGTAGACACAGCTTTAAAGACCGAAATTGGCGTTGAAACCAAAGTGGATAGTAAATTTAATAATAATAAATTATTAATATTTAATAAATATCAGGGCAATAATTTTAGCACAGGTGTCAGGTTTAGCACATAGTATCACAAACACAAAATGTTGCTTGTGGTTCCATTGACTATTTACAACCCTTGCCGTTATTTTTCCACGTGTATGCCGAGAGACTTCTTACTTTCAATTCTACATCTTAGGTTTCTACATGCCTGCCTGAAGAATAATGTCTCTAACGTTCCATACGGAAGTTGTGATATCAACGATTATTCGAGACATTGTCGCTAATAACTTATTTAAAATATCAATGGACTATAAAGCTTCTCAATTTTGATATCACGCTTTGTTAGAAATAAAGTAAAACTAAATTATCTTTTCATCGAAAAGAGCATTGCTTGCTGCCAGGTAGTGCTGCATGTAATAGGTAATTTCATGTTTTAGGTGCGTGTGCTGTTTTAGATAGACACTGATGAAGATGCTGGTGATATGGAATCTAGCGTACTGCAGGAGTACAAATACCCATGGAATATGCGTTACTATTACCGTAGAAAATTGTCATTATTTTTCATTGTTCTCCATGACAAGTCAATACGGATAATCCCATATAGGATTGATTGAAACTTTGTAAAATAGAAAGTAATATTTTAAGAAATAGTCATATGATATCGAAATTGGTTTGGTGATGGCACAAAAAAGTTTCGATGGCATTCAATGATAAGCGTTTTTAAAATTTAGCAATACAAACAGAAATGGGAAATTAAATGATAAATGGAATAATTTAAATTAAACAAATACTAGTTTAAACCAAGGGTCCGCAACTACGAGGTCGAGACCCAAATTTGGGTCGCGAAGCCCTCCGCTCTGGGTCGCAAAACAAGTTAAATTTGCCATAAATATGAGCATCGCGTATGTGTAGCGTATTTATGTATAGTAACTTTAAAAATCTCTGATTTCAAATATGGATGTTTCCCCGAGTATGATCCTTTCCCCGACTTTTGAACCCCAAACAATTCTCCCTATATCTTACCATTGCAAAATTTTCGGGGCTTATTTTAAGAGTGGTTTTGCGAGTTGGCGCCTGTAACATGGGTTCTTGTTTTAAACCATCATTATGATTCATCGCATACAACAATCTGTCTTTTAAAAGTATCGCTAAAGAATTTTAGCCTAGTCTATCACAGCTATTTCTATACTAATTTTTTACTACTGTCATTTAGTTAAAACTTCTGAGAAGACAGAGTGATCATTAAATTATCTGATACTAAAACTAACGAATTGAGTTCAAAAACGCGAAAACGAGGTAATGTTTACGATCACGCTTGAAAATCTGTCTGAGTGAGAAAAGTGTCTAAGCGGATGCGAAAAGGAAGCATTGTTACGTCACTTTTTGCATCTTGCTGATTGGCCAATGTCACGAAGTAAACAAGGAAGTCGATGCTCGGGGAAAGGTCTATACAACTACTTATTTTCTGAGCTTAACGATTTTCTTGAAAAAGACGAGTTCAGTCAAAACATTGTAAAACAATATTCAGTCATCTTCATGATCTTCCTTTCTTTCTTAATACTTCATATGAGGTACTGTAAGAAAAGGTGAAAACTAATGAATGGAACGACCCCTTTCTTCAGAAGTGAATTCAAATCCAACAAAGTTTCCGTTCATGCCTACGGACATGAGGTAGTTCTAACATTTGTTTTATTGAAATCTTTATTTTGTCTATTTAATATTCTGGAAAACAGAGTTTCATACAGCACTGAACAACACGATATGAGTAGCAGATTAAACACATTTATAAGCTTTGTACTTTTCACCATATATAAGACTTTGGGAATTTCGAATAAATGCTCTTGTGTTAATTACTGTACATTGTTTCATTAATAGGGCAAAATAAGGCAAAGTCTCTTTGACGACATCATGGATCTGAACAACGGTAAGCAACTTTACCTTTTATCGACGGAGGCACCAATTGGAATTTGTGTGTTTATAGACATGATTTACCGCGCATAGTAGCATTAACTATACATTCATCCTTGGATTTATGTATTTCTTGTAATTCTATCTATAAGAATTCATTTATGAAAAGTGCCATCGATGGCGACACCATCTGGTAGAGGAATCCGACTAGGTCCAGGATGTCCTCTTTAGGCAATCACCTCCAACATGATGATGGAAGTCCTCCTTATGGGTGTCAAGAGTTTACCGGACGTCATTCACCGGTTATGATGTGCGTCGGATGTGATTGCTAAGGCTGCATGAGGATTAATCAGTGGGTAGATCAGATTATGAATGAATTGGTAATATTATATATATGCTTCATAAAAATTGAGGTCAAGCTATATGGCAAGAATGCTGGCACTTTCGCTTAGTCTGGTATACCAGGATAACAGACTCAGATAAGAAGCGATTACAGGTATTGCGACAGTCAGTTTGTTGAAATTACAATTGAAACATGAGAATGACAAAAAACGTTGGGGCGCAGACTAGCACGAAAAATGCTCTCAGAACTAGAATGAAGGTTCGACTATGGCTATGCGACAAATGAATATGTATATCAGATGCAAACATATGTTTTATGCCACGCCCTTTAAATAAATAAAATAATATCACACAAATTCCGCTCAGTAATTTTTTTTTCTTATCGGAATCAATCCACAATGTAATACGCTCCAACTAATTCAAATACTATCATAAAGAAAAATACCATAGCATAACTATTGCTAGATTTCAGAAACAATATGACCAAATTTTTGATCCAAGTAACATGGCACACACAAATGTAGAATTGTCGTCCCGCATTTTTCTTGTTTTCCAGTTGTAGATATTCATGACGTATTTTGAATGAGAGCTGGCAAATTTATGATCTTGTTATATGAATTAGTAGAGCAGCGTTCGAAACTTATCGCATCATTGCGGTTCTGAGGAGTAATTCCTCACGGAGTTGATCGGTAACTTGCTTCAAGCTTTCATTAACTTCTACATCGTTGTCTTTCATATTCTGAGCAAATTCTTCAATTTCGTCTGTTCAAAGACAAGGTAAAATAAATAAATTAACGCGAGTAAACCTATATTCGAGTGATTGGAACTTTGTTTGATACGAAGTAATATATGTAAGTATTAGGTCATATGATATTGGAAATCTGTGCCGTGATGGCAATTAGTATGGGAAATGCAGCAATTGCATTTGTAGATATCGATATGATTTTTTAAATTGTTGCTAAAGGAATAGTGAAAACGATAAAATTAACGAAACATTGAATATAAACAAGTGCTAGTTTCAACTACAGGATGTATCAGAGCATCTTCTCTCTGTAAAAAAAAAACATTTTACCCAGATTCATTCCAGAGACTGAATTTAACGCAGAAACCAATTTGTTCATGTCGTCATCCGACAATTCATCTTTGAATTCATTCTTCGCATTCTCCAAAAATTATTGAAAAGAGTCGCTGTCCTATATACAAATAAATAACAGTAATATGACAAAATGATAAAAAATTATAGAACGATAAAAGAAATAATAATAAAAGATAAACGTGTTCGAAAAAAGATAACCTCGGTTTTCAGGTAGGCCAGTTTCTCCAGAGAATCACGATCCCATCGAAGAAGTCGAAGACCGACTTTAGCAACGTGGCCAAGTACTTTTCTGAATAAAAGTCATTTTGTTTTATTACCAGCCAATATTAGTGCACAATTCATAGACTGTCAACAAGGGATTCAATTACTATAAAATTTACCCTGCTGTATGCCATCCTCTACGTTTCTTTCCCCGGCGTTAGTTATAGATTCTAGTTTCTGGATATACTTTATTTTTACTTTATACTTTATTTTTACGAACTACATTCAAAACGTATGTTAGCCTACAAGCCCAATACTGTTGTGCATTCGACTTTCAATTATGGGAATTTCCATAAAATTTGCCACTAAAGGTATTTTTGAGTTCACAAGCAAATGGTTGTATATATTTTAATTAGCAAAGTTTCCTTAAACTGTAAAGCATATGTCGACGTGGAATGATTAATTTGTTGTTTATAGATGCCTAGAAATTTTTTTTGTTATAAAACTATTCAAAATCGTGTTGCAGTAGTCAAGCGTGCTGTTGGGGAAAACGCCCATTAGGAAATCGTATATAAACGCGAAGAATTTGTTGAGAATCACATTGAGTCGTATCTACACTCAGAAGACGTTTAAGGTAAGGGGTGGATCTGAGTATTTATTTGTCTATCATTTGTTAAACGATTCGTCTTGATAATGAAAATTGGCTTTTGGTTTTCAATTTTTTTCAGCATTTATGCTCCCCGCGTTCGATTTGATGCGCAGATCGTGACGCATTGAGAAATGTTCAACCCCAGATTGCCCCACCAATGAAAACATTGTCTGATTACATACATGAAAGTTTGTTGCTCGTTTTACCAAAACTGACGCCTTGTTTATTACTTTTAACGGTGGAATGTTTTCCTTCAAGTTGATATCTCCGCACTATATTTGCACTACAGAAAGAATTGAAGAACGTAGAAGAATACGTTATAAAAATAAAGTATATTCAGAAACTAGAAACTATAACTTAATATTACATTATGAATTTTATAGATGAATTTCAAGTTTCTCGTTCTATTGCTCCTTGTTGCTTTGTTAGCAATTCAACATGGTGATTCCTGGGGTCGGAGAAGACGCCGGGGAAAGAAACGTAGAGGATGGCATACAGCAGGGTAAATATCATAACAATTGAATCCCTTGTTGACAGTCTATGATTTGTGCACTAATACTGGCTGGTAACAAAACAAAATGACTTTTATTCAGAAAAGTACTTGGCCACGTTGCTAAAGTCGGTCTTCGACTTCTTCGGTGAGATCGTGATTCTTTGAAGAAACTACTTTCCTGAAAAGCGAGGTTATTTTTTTTTCGAACTCGTTTATCTAATATTTATTTTATCGTTCTATCATATTTTATCATTTTGTCTTCTTACTGTTATTTATCTGTATATAGGACAGCGACTCGTTTCAAGAATTTTTGGAGAATGCGAAGGATGAATTCAAAGACGAATTGTCGGATGACGACATAAACAAATTGGTTTCTGCATTAAATTCAGTCTCTGGAATGAATCTGGGTAAAATGTTTTTTTTAACAGAGAGAAGATGCTCTGATACATCCTGTAGTTGAAACCATCACTTGTTTATTTTCAATGTTTCGTTGATTTTATCGCTTGCACCATTCTTTTAGCAACAATTTAAACATTACATCGATATCTATTGATGCATTTGGTGCATTTTTCATACTAATTGCCATCACGAGAGAAATTTCCAATATCATATTAATTATTACTTACATATATTACTTTGAATCAAACAATGTTCCAACCACTCGTATATATGTTTATTCGCAATAATTTATTTATTTTCCCTTGATTGTGAACAGACGAAATTGAAGAATTTGCTCAGAATATGAAAATCAACGATGCAGAAGTTGACGAAAGCCTGAAGAAAGCCACTGATCAACTCCGTGAGGAGTTACTCCTGAGAACCGCATTGATGCGATAAGTTCAGAATGATGCTCTACTAATTCATATAACAAGATAATAAATCTGCCAGCTCTTATTCAAAATACGTCATGAATATCTACATCTGGAAAATAGGAAAAATGCGAGACGACAATTCTACATATGTGTGTGCCATGTTACTTGGATCAAACATTAGGCCATATTGTTTCTGAAATCTAGCAATAGTTATGCTTATAGTATTTTGCTTTATCAAATTATTCAAATTAGTTGGAGCATATTAAATTGCGGATTGATTCCGATAAGTAATAAAATTACTGAGCGTAATTGTCTGATAATATTTTATTTATTTAAAGGGCGTGGCATAGAACATATATGCTTGCATATGCGCCCCAAGGTTTTTCGCATTCTCGTGTTTCATTTGGAATTTCAACGAAGCCGCAATACCTGTAATCACCTTTTATCTGAGTCTGTTATTCTGGTATACCAGACTAAGCAAAAGTATAGGGATATTAGTTATTTAGACCATATTTTTAACAGTAAGAAAAAAAGTAATTCCCAGTAGGACAAGATTTCTTCTTAAAGATATTTACGTTAAATACTTAATTGGCTTTCATAAGAATAACCCTTCAGTTAAAAACACGATTTCTTGCCCTTAAGCAAAATAAACTTGTAAAATCCTGTTTTTAATCACTCGACCACTTATAGCAAACTATTTAATTGGCTACAGACATCCTTCTAAATCGTTTTACAAGAATTGCCGAGACTTAATTACGGCATTCTTACTTTATTTATTATAAACGATATCCACGTAAAAGCTAAACCCTAAAGGCATAACAGGCGTCTCGACTATTGTATATAAACTGACAATAATTCTTTAAATGGAATGGACTGGACTGAACGTGTTATAATATTCTTCTTGTGTCGTCTAAATACAACAAATATAAGGTTGGTTGCTTTGTTACTATTCGTGTCTGCTGGGTTCAGCTCTGCCCTAACAGAAACAGAGAGAATCGTGTGCTGGGTTAAATATATTAACCGGTTCCTATAAAATTGGTGAGACCCCGACTGAGAATTGTGCCTATCTGAGAGGAGTCAGATTCGCTGCTGTTGTGCCAACGGAGATCAACAACATCTACGGAGGAACAAAAGTTAAGTAATATTCACAATTCCTACTAACCTAAGCGTATAGGGGCCATTAGCTAAAAATAATCTCCAATTTTTCTTCCCAGTGCGGACGCTAAAGAACGAACAAAGAACGAGATGACAATGCATTAAAGATAAACAACAGTTGAACAATGGTAGACGGCTATGGAACGACAAAACGATGAATCTTGACGATGGCTAACGGACAAACGAAACGAACTTTTAAAAAATTATGAGGTGAAAAATCAACGAAAAATAATCAAAATGATGAAATAATGAATCAACTACAGACGAAGGGACTTTTCAAAGAAATACGGTACATAAAACGCGCCCAAACAAATTATTTAACGCGACAAATGACGAAAAGAATGACAAACGTAACAATATGTTATTTTCATGCTCATAATTTTGTTTTATTTTATCAGTGCAGATTTTTCATCTTGTTGGGACACGCTTCATACTTCTCCTATTCTTAAGGTAAAATTCTTCTATTTCTCTCTGGCGTTTTAAAATTCGGCTTCCAATTTTTATGAATTCATTGAAGGTAGGGTAATTCGGATGTTTATTTAAGTGGCATAAAATCGTTAGGCCAAATGATTGTCCAACATAAGTAAATGTTTAGTTACGAATGGTTTTCATAAAATTCATAAAGAATGTAAATTTGACGGTCATAAACAACCCCATTTTCGATAGAATATGTTTCTAAATCACTGGCAACCTTTTAAAAAGATGATTTAAATATAATCATACTTTAATCTCGCCAATATATTCGTCTAATACGAATATATTGATCAAATACATAAACTAAGCGCATTTTTTTCTCAACGCACACAGAAGGCTATTTTTTTTCAAAGCGCTTCAAACCCAACAAGGGATATCAAGGCTAGCTAAGCCATTACTTGCGAGTTGTAAGGTTAAGGTGTGATGAAATATGTTAAATTGAAATCACTGTTTTGACTGTCAACATCAAATTTAAAACTATAATACGCCAATCTTTTCTAAAAGCTTCTTTCCACTTTTCTAATTACCTGTTCTTCATGCCTCTTCTCTGTCCCATTAAATTTTTCAATTTCAGTATATATATTAATGTGTATCCGTATAATCATGAATATTTTGTTTATTACTTGAAGTATTAATGACATTGAAAAAAATAACTCAATTTTAAATCTAGCTAATTCGGAAATAAGTTTAAAATTATCATAAAACTTTCCATATTATTACAAATCAAATTATTATTTTATCAGCCTGATAACCTTAATTTCACTCAAGTTATTTTGGTATAATTTCAGTGTAATCTTACAATCATTCTTTTTTCGTTATTATTTTGTAGAGATCTGTACAATTTTTGACACGTTTGTTATGCCGAAACCCCGAACTCCGTTCTTTAGGGCCGAATTATATAGGGATATTAGTTATTTAGACCATATTTTTAACAGTAAGAAAAAAAGTAATTCCCAGTAGGACAAGATTTCTTCTTAAAGATATTTACGTTAAATACTTAATTGGCTTTCATAAGAATAACCCTTCAGTTAAAAACACGATTTCTTGCCCTTAAGCAAAATAAACTTGTAAAATCCTGTTTTTAATCACTCGACCACTTATAGCAAACTATTTAATTGGCTACAGACATCCTTCTAAATCGTTTTACAAGAATTGCCGAGACTTAATTACGGCATTCTTACTTTATTTATTATAAACGATATCCACGTAAAAGCTAAACCCTAAAGGCATAACAGGCGTCTCGACTATTGTATATAAACTGACAATAATTCTTTAAATGGAATGGACTGGACTGAACGTGTTATAATATTCTTCTTGTGTCGTCTAAATACAACAAATATAAGGTTGGTTGCTTTGTTACTATTCGTGTCTGCTGGGTTCAGCTCTGCCCTAACAGAAACAGAGAGAATCGTGTGCTGGGTTAAATATGTGTGTGACATGTTACTTAGATCAAACATTAGGCCATATTGTTTCTGAAATCTAGCAATAGTTATGCTTATAGTATTTTGCTTTATCAAATTATTCAAATTAGTTGGAGCATATTAAATTGCGGATTGATTCCGATAAGTAATAAAATTACTGAGCGTAATTGTCTGATAATATTTTATTTATTTAAAGGGCGTGGCATAGAACATATATGCTTGCATATGCGCCCCAAGGTTTTCCGCATTCTCGTGTTTCATTTGGAATTTCAACGAAGCCGCAATACCTGTAATCACCTTTTATCTGAGTCTGTTATCCTGGTATACCAGACTAAGCAAAAGTGCCAGCATTCTTGCCATACAGCTTGACCTCAATTTTTATGAAGCATATAATATTACCAATTCATTCATAATCTGATTTACCCACTGATTTATCCTCATGAAGCCTTAGCAATCACATCCGGCGCACATCATAACCGGTAAGACAATATTATGCTCGAATACGCCTTCAGAAAAAACGACAATTCAGGTAATATAGCAGAAGTTACTTATCATATGGACTCATTTGAGACAAAATTCTGATTTGTACCTAACGCGTTTGCTCTGTAATAAAATGTTCAGTAATGAAACGATAAGACCGTCCAGACTTGAAAGCAAATTTATCTGGAGAAAGCAGTTAGTTTATCATGTGTATCAATCAGTTCCTATTCAAGAATTACACGATGACATGGAGGTTCGTTTCAACGATGTAATTCAATCGTAGGTTCAGCAGTGGGAAAAAAGTTGTTTCTGACTTAAATGAAGCCGAATATATATAAAGTGTCTTATCAAACAATCCAATCCTAATTCTCATAAACATATTATTACACTAGAAATTCATTTTTCAAGTTAGACCCGGTCTCAAAATAATTTTTATGGCTCACATTAGTCTGTAGATTTAATACATATTTATCCACTTATTTTTCAAATCGCTCAAATTTCCAACAGACAATAAAAAAATAAAGACAATTCACTGCGTTAAGAACGCCTATTCCACGGGTATTTATACTTCTTCAGCACTTCCTTCTCCATTTCCCCAGCATCTTCACCAGTGTAGATCTTCAACAGTACACGTACCTGAAACATGACTTTACCCTATTACAATGCAAACATCCATAGCTGGAACGACCGTGTTTTGGATACGCGATTGTAATATGATTTCAGTTAGAAACGTTAGAATCGATGTAAAATTGCAGAAACGAATTTACTTGGAATGGAAAAATAACTATAAGGGCTATAAACAATCACCGAAACCACATGCTCCATTCAGGTTGAAATCAGAATTGAAGCCGGATCACATTTCATCTGCTCCAGAAATAAGGGTAACAGACGTAGCGAAGGTTTCAAAGGATCGTATGCACAAATATAATATTTCTTTTTATGCGGAAAATAGTGAACCAACTTACTTCGACAAATTCTCAGAAAAAAAAAATTTGAAAGATTACCTGCAATGCTTGACCCTCTTCTAAGACTTTGTCGATTTTCGTAGCAAGATGGGATCCGTCTGTACAATATTGATCTACTCGATCCAGTACGGAACAATCTGAGCTTGATTCCGATTTCCCAACATACACAACTTCTCTTGTTTCCCTAATTCTCCATTCATAAATTCCATCGTCCCCAGAAAAAAGATCCAATTTTTCCATATCGCTTCTTCTCAGACGATATCCATCACCATTCCTTTCTTCGTACGAGCCATTTTTGTCCTTTCGAATGCTTGGCTTCATAACAGTAACGAATCCAGACCACTTTCCTCGCCATTTTTTGAATAGATCTCGATCATCTGCGTCCTCTCTCTTGGTTCTCATATTTTATTGAATCTTCCAGGGAACAGTCGTACTGACAAATTTATGGAATTCCAACGGTAAATCGTAACTGTACCGAGCTTACGTAGGTGTTTACTTCATCTGATGGGCAATAACAAATGTGCTGTAATAAATAGCACACGAATTGGAGATTAATATTTAACTAAAATTAATGGTGTTGTTGCACCATTCCCGATAAATGTTTCGAAAATGGGGTTTCATTTGGGGATATCCCTGGGTGTGTGTACATAAACCATATTTTGCTAATTTGGCGAATAAATACAGACGCGATATAAGACATGTTGTATTGTGGAGTAGGGTTTATGGTCTACGGTTGAATATTACGTTTTTCCTAAAATAATGATTCAATTAAATATTTCAATCCGAAAATGATTTTATAAATCAAGCTTTAGAAATTAAATAGTCATTTAAAATTGAAATATTTTTTAAAGATGGCGGAATAATTATTTAACCAGAAAATGTAGATTTAGTTGAAATTACGTTATTTTAGATTAGGGAACAACAAACATATCCGTAACATTTAAAGATAATGAAAAAATGCGATTTTGCTTCATGTCAATATTTATTCATCAAAGACATCTTTACTGGTTGTTTCTCGGACGTTCGAGTCAAAATCAAACAATGCTCTAAAGTCAAAGTGAAGTAAATTTGGCGTTCGTAAATGAAATTAATAAGGATTTATGTATAGTATTCGTAGAGAAAGTTAGTGAGATCGGAGTGGCAATTTTAGAGTACTTTGCGAATGTCTGTCGTCTTTCCCTATAAGTGCCGGTTCTCTCTATAAGTACTCTCCCATTTGATCTGTGGAAATTTGTATCGTATAACAATATTCGATGTGTATTTCACTTCAAAGTAGGCATCGTGAAGAATTTGCTAAACAGGTAATGGCCCAGCGAAATTTTCAAATATATATCACAAGAGTTATTATAATGCTTTTTGTGGTGCTCTTTCAGCCTATGTGCACATAACTATCTTGTAGTGTTTACTGCTCGAGCTCAGTGTAGGCACAGTCGGGTGTTCATTATTATCATCTTTTTTTTGTGGCACAGATCGCGTATAATTAATAGAATTGAAAAAGTACAATAAAAATGTTGAAACAATTCCAATACAATTAAATCAAAGATGCTTATTTGGGGAGTTGGTCAATATTCTTCAACGTTTTTTTTAACTCCATGTCGATATCCGAAGTAAAGGCATATTATTTGAAATTGAATTACAGATAAGGTGGAACTGAAACTTAACTAAATAACATAATTTGACAGATTGTCAATAAATTGATTGTACAGAGAACTTGATCTCGTATCAAACGCAACCACCTAAAAACTAATGATTGGTGAACATTTGCGATAAGGCATCTGTTTAGTTAAAACGATTATACTCGCTACAATCGGACAGGGAAATCGGGCTTTCTTCAATGCTTCCCAAAACATGGAGAATATCACTAGGCGGAACTTGCTTTTTTCTGCTGTGCAATTTCCCATCAATGTGATAAACACATTTTTATTAATGATTAGAGCTTATTTAAAGTCAAAGTGGAAAGATTGACTGTACGCACATTGGAATCACTAGTTCAGAATTAACTAGATAATTATACATGACTGATAATAGAATATTAGCTTATAATAAAACAAAACGATTTTTATTCAGAAAAGTAATTGGGTGGGATTGATAAAGCCGGTATCAAACTTCTTGGATGGGATCGTGATTCTTTGGAAAAACTGGCCTATCTGAAAAGCGAGGTTAGGTCTGTTTTTAAAACTTATTGATCCTTCTTTATTTCTTTCATCATTCTTCTAGCATTTTGTCTTCTTACTGTTATTTATCTGTATATATATATATATATAGGACAACGGCTCTTTTCAAGAATTTTTGGAGAATGCGAAGGACGAATTCAAAGACGAATTGTCGGATGACGAAATGAACAAATTGGTTTCTGCATTGAATTCAGTCTCTGGAATGAATCTGGGTAAAATGTGATATAAACAAGGAGAAGATGCTCTGATACATCTTGTAGTTGAAACTAGCACTTGTTTATTTTCAATATTTTGATATTTGTATCGTTTTCACTATTCTTATACAATGAATTTAAAACGGCCATTACGAGACAATATTTCAATATTATATGAATTATTAAGCATAAATAAATAAATGAAAAGCATTGATGTAGAAGTCAATGAAAGCTTAAAGAAAGCTACTGATCAAATCCGGGAGGAGGTACTCAAGAGAACCGTAATGATGCGATAAATGAGTTCCGAATGCTGCTCTACAAATTTATTTACCAAGATAAAGTTTTCACAACAGCACTTGTTAAATTACGCCATAGATTATCTATATCCGAAAATGGGAAAAAAGCAAAACGACAAAGAAAAAGTTCTTTAAAATGATTAACATCTGTTCTCGACAACCTCAATATGGCGGCTGACCGATATAGTATCTCTATTCCTACAAAACAATGCATTCAAACGCCTTTATTCGCATTTGAATGCAGTTTAACTTGAGCTACCAATGGGTTTTGATGCATGATATTATTTTTCGTGTCTACAAAATAACATTTTTTTTATTAGTATTTGAGCTTCACACCCGCCTTTTTACTCGCTTAACTTATACAACAAGAAACATATGCTTCTTCTTCAGACGACACCATTGTTACACAACAATGGCAATTCCCACACAGGCATTGAGATATAAAGTCACACAACAATGATCATTTTCTACAACCTTGCATAAAATTAGCTATTTTTTTATGTTGAAGAAGTGTCGAAATTGCCGTCGGATCTTATTACATCTGACTTAGAAATGAGGGAAACAATATTGATTGACTCGATCAAATACTGAATTATCAGATTTTGATTCAGATTTTCCAACATACACAACTTCCTTTCCTCCCGTTCTTTTCTCAATTTGCAACTCATAAATTCCATCAATCCCAGCAAAACAATCTAACTGTTCCATGTCGCTTTTTTTCCGACAATATCCATTACCACTCCTTCCTTTGTACAAGCCGTTTCCGTTCTTTCTTTTACACCACTTCATAGTAGTATAGAATTCAGACCATTTTCTTTCCCATTATTCAAAAAGATCTGAATTACTTGCCTCATTTCTTTTGATTTTTGGAGGAGCCATGGTATAACCAACAAATTTACGAAATCGAAACTATAAATCGTAACACAGGTGAGCTCGCGTAGAAGTTTAGTTGGACTGAAGTTCAACAACAAATTTTATAAAATAAATAACGTGGCGTAGCTTCATTCTCGATAAATGTCTCGCAGTTGGGGTTTTATAGGGGATATCCCCGGGTGTACAGAACCCCATTTTGCTGGAATATTAAATAGAATATAGACGCGATATAGTACTTACTCCAATATTTAATACAGTGATTCCCAACCTTTTCAGGCGGCCAAAATTTAAAAACAAAGTTTTGTAATATCTCGAGAGCCAAAGATATTCTCAAGTACTAGGCGGTATGTAATGCTCATGCTAAAATTGTCAGATAATTAACCGACTGATAACAGAAGTGCAGTCGTGTTCTACGCACATGTGTAATTACTATTGAGCGACACTGAATACCAAATATAAAATGAAAAATGGAATTTACTAAAAAAATGAGTGACTTTTTGATTTTTGTTGAACAAGTCACCCAGTGTGACCCAGTGTAGTAGAGTGTTCGATCTGTAGATAATTCGTCTTTCGTAAAATATAGATTTGAATGAAATTTGTCAAAATCCTTTTAATGCATGATGTTTTTTCTTCATTTAAAATCCATTTACTTTACTGAATATAAATGTTTGTTTAATGCCTCATTATAACGCTCTGATTCTGGAACGCTCCATTCATTGATATAAAATTACTTTGTTGAGAAAGTAAGTGAGATCGGAATGGCCAATTCATACCGCACTGTCTGCAACCTTTTGAACTCAGCGTGCAATTTTATGAATAATGAGCACCTTCGCGTGCCAAACATTTTTAGGTTTTGGTTTGCATAGTCAACTACCTGATTTGAATAGTAAACGGATGAAAAACAAATTTATTTTATAAGATTACGTGCATGGAAATTAGCTTACTACTATCAAAATCGGAAATTTCCATTTCATTCTGAAACAGTCGCCGCGATTACGCGTTTATAAAAATGAGCAGACTTTTTCCGGGTATACCGTAAAATATTCAATTCAGGACAGCTACGGGAATCTATGAAATTTTCTTCTATATTGATATAATTGTGTCCAACGTAACTCGCGGTTCCGTCTTCTTGTGTCAAAATATAAACATTACTTGTCTAAAATACCGCTCAATCTGTTGGCGTATAAAAATATGAGATAGACATGCGTGATTGTATTTAGCGTGGATACTTTTTCGCGATCTTACGGGTTCGTTATCGCCGTTAGAAAAATCTCAAGATCTTCAATAAAAATCTCGTAGAGTACAATTAAATACATATGAAGTATATATATCAGTAAATCAAAAATACATATTTATCGCCTCAATATTCTCCGCGGAACGACTTTTACGACGGATAATAATTATTTTTCTGCTGTGTGAAGTAATCAATCCATGACCGGTACGGCCATATGTAAAATGTCTTGCTTTATTATAATTTAATTGTCTTCAATTTAACCCGCGTTTTCGTCGACAATATAGATCCGTATTTTTGCCATTTTGCGAATTCGACAAATCTAAGATGTACTTGCAACAATGACTCCGCTCTATCGCAATGCTGCCACTCAGATTATTTTTAAAATGAAACCGTTAAAAAAATTCCTAATTCTGCAATAAAATAAAATTTATTTTAGTACATTAAAAATTGATTGAATATATATTTATACTAATTACTAATCTCATATATCACCACGACTCGGGAAAAAATAGCGTTTCTAACCTTTAACATGAATCGTATGATATTAACACGAAAATAGACATACGAAAATGTGCAAGTTACAATGCCTAAAGAAGCATTTTTGATCTGTGGCGGGCCAACTACAACAAATTGTTTAGGGTTTTGTTTTTGATATTTAATATTGCCGCTGTTCGATGAAAAAATCTGCGTCGCCGTTTCACTCCTTTATTTGACTTAAGAAACTCGCCGCCAATTATTGTTCAATAACTCTCAACAGATTCACAATTCTGGACGAGTAGAAAAAGTAAGTAATTGTTATCGTTGTCGTTAAATAACTTTTTTGAATCAGGGAGAATAAACAACAACTTAAAAGTGTTTACAGCCTAACACGCCACGCTGACAAAAAACAATCGCGATTTTATCAAAAAGCTGTACGAAAAGTTGCCCGAAAGTATGAATTGATAATATAATATTCAATATTTCACGATTTTTGAATGGCAAAAAGTAACCCAGCAGTAGTATGAAAAGTTGCAAGTAGTTAAACGAGTAGTTTTAAGTAGCGAAGCGTTTCCGAAAGTAGCCAAATCTGGCACCGCTGCACAGCACATGCTTATCTACACTGATTTCACGTACAGATTCGAGCTCTGATCCTAGTTTTTCCGAAAGAAGCGAAATGTGGCAACAACGTACCGCACATACTTAATTACACTGGTTTCCCGTACAGACTCCGGCCTTTCGTCGATTGCAGTTAAATATTGCATGTTTTTCAATGAATTTGTCGAATTGTTAATTTTTGTTCAAATGTAGAATGTTTATCGAACTACTAAAATAAATATCTGAATCTGCCTCAAATCACTTGGCGTGCCATCAGAAATCCTCTCGCGTGCCACAATTGGCACGCGTGCCAGGGGTTGCTGACCCCTGGTCTAGTGTATACATATCGCCAGGCCAATACCCGAATTGCCTAAGTCATTTTTGGCGGTTTTGAGTTTTTTTTATAAAATAGGTATTTATGTAATGTCTGTTAACTCAGATTTTATTTTAAGAATTTCGAAACCCATAAAAATGGAGATTTTGTATGACATGCACACTTGTGCAATTGTTTCGCCATAAGGAGTTATCATTGTTATCGCCAGACTATTGTGATATCACAAAGGAAAAATAACCTCGGCGAAGTATTTTCGAGTTTTTGCATCTCAGATCCTAGCTTAGCCCTTATAAATGTGAATTAATACTACAGTATAGGGAGGCGTGCACTTGTGATATTCACTGTCTGAGTCCAATTCACCTTAGTTGGCTTCTATAATAGGGTTCATTGCTGTTTTATTCTTTATATTTAATCTTAGTCTTATTTCGGTGGGTGTGCAGAGCGTGTTATATTGATGAAATATATATTTCTAAACATAAAAAATAATGTAATTAAAAAAGATTAGCTATTTTGGGGATTAGACATCGTAGATACTGAGAATTACATGCGTTTTTGGAATGTTTGGTTTTCAGGACTGGTGCATATAGTCAAGTTGCAAAATTGCGTATGTCCCCAAGTCATAGACACATTTCTGTCTAAGTCACAGTGCGCCAGTATGACGTCACATAACTGCATCATACAAATTACCTTAAATCCGGCTACGATCAAAAAATTGACCATGGCAAATTTTTTGACTCTCAGCGGCTTAACAATATCACTAGGAAGTTTTTTACGCTTTTCTCAAAACTGCTAAAAATGACTTACGCGATTCGGTTATTAGCGTGACGATATTTAGTTATATATATATATATATACAGTAGTACACAATAACAACAATTGCATTTTTCTCACAATAAGATGCGGAGAACTCTATAACGGGACACCGGTTTATAGTTTAGCGTTTGGACACTGGGCCTACCTACTTAGGCAATAGGCAAAATTTCCAAAAGTCAAGTTATAATGGTGTTGTTTTGAACCAAGTTGTTATCAGCCTGTGTGTACATAACTGTCTTGCTGCGCCAATTGCACTAGATCAGAATAGGCACAGTTTGGTAGGTGACCATTTTCATATTTTTTTTGTGGTTTGATGGTTTACTAACACGTTAACTGTTAACGGAAGGGCCCCTTTGGTCTCCAACAATGAAGCTATTTTGTTCATTGTCGTGGTGATACAACGAACTTTAAAACTTTGAAAATACAACAAGCAAATATTCTGAATAAAATATTTATTTAAAACTTTCAATAAAAGGGAACAATTACGATAGACAAATTTGAACTGCATGTGGTCAATTGAACAATGCGGCTCGTCCACTTATCTCACCGATCATTTTTTGACTTCTTAAAAAGTTTCAAATTAAATGAAAACATGATTTCTTGAATAATGTCTCCCCTGAAGTTGTGAAATTCATTTTTAACGTTCTTTTGTCTCCATATCGATTTCTAAAGTAAAAGCATATCATTTGGGATTAACTTACAGACAATAATCAACTATACTGAGTTCCGGGATTTCACAATGTGCATATTTTTCCAGAATAAAATGATTGTACCGAAAAACGCAACTTGTATCAAACGCATCCACTTAAAACTAACGATTGGTGAATATTTGCAATAAGGCATATGTTTAGTTAAAACGATTATACTCCCTAAACTTTGTATGTAATCGGCAATTGGGACAGGGAAATTGGACGTTTCTCCAATACTTTTCGAAAATTTATAGATTTAAAAAAAAGATCAGATATTATTTAATTGATTCACCAGGAATACATAAACGGAATGTATATTCAAATATACTATACGAATTAAACTATGTCCACATATAAATGTGAGGTAGGTCTGCACGTATGGGGCACTTACCGTTGTTTAGATCCATGATGTCGTCAAGCAGACGTTGCAGTAATTTGCCCTATTAATAAAAGAAATGATGTATTTATAAAAATCATGTTACTTTCACCAATATAATGTTGTTTAATGTGTAGATAGATGACTTTAGAGTGGCATAGGCCATAGACACACAAGCATTTCAAAGAGCAGGCGTAGTGACTCCAAACTGCGATCTACTGCTACTTATTTTTCCGCTTTGAATATTTTGAATAGGTATACCGTACAGTTCCTTACACCGCATTCTGAGCGGGAAGTAATCAAGTTCCGAATGAATAGGCTAGAAGGCGAATAACCCAAAACGTCATGACAAATGTTACACCACGGAACTGAATTTCTAAAGACATTTTAAGAAGAACAGTTCACGGTTCTCAAAGAGATTAATGGGTCGTTGCATTTTACTCGATTTCGAGAAAACAATTTCTAAATTCCGAAAGTCTTATCGTGTTATATCGTGTTGTTTAGTGCTTTACAAAACTTTGTTGTCTAGAATTATTGAATGAACAGTTGATATAAAACAAACGTTAGAACTACCTCATCTCCGTATGCATGAACGGAAACTTTGTTGGATTTGATTTCACTCCTGAAAAAAAAATGAATACACTTTAGTTCAAGTGTCGTTGAATTCAGATTTGAATAATATAGACTGGCAATAAAAATCTTCCGTTTAGTTCATCACAGTACTTTGTATGAAGTATTAGAGAATAAACTAGTTTTGTGCTTTTTACAACAGCATTACTATACGACGACTTCAAATCGTAAAACATGTCAAAACATGACATTTTATGTCAGATAAGGTCAACTTTATATCCATTGCGAATTCGGGCTCATGTTTTGTATAAAAAAAAAACAAATATTTGTGAGGTTTGAAATGATGTAACCCAGCGGTTTCCAAACTAATTTTGTTCGTGCATCATCAAGTTATCGGGGAAAATCTCATGTCGCACCTCCAAATTGAACACAATTTTGTGATCGTTAATGTGTATTTTCTTCTTTTTGGAATTTGTAGGCATGCAGGCCTTAAGAATAAAGGCGGTGTCAACAAAACAACACAACGTCATAACAGTTACACTTATTCATCTAATGTGGGATGTGCGTCTGTTGCTCTAAACACATCTTTTCAAATCGCGGTGTTATAGTTGATATGCACACGCGCATTTTCTCAATATGTGCAAACGTGAATGTTATTTGGTTTTCATTGGCAACACTGATGAAAACCCAGCTTTGCTGAGATAGGATGTTGCAAATGGCAAAAAACACACGCAGATCTCTTTCACACAATATTCTATCATATATGAGTTATGTTTAACACAATTCTGTTTATTTTCGGGGCGCATTTAGCAAATAATGCGCCACGGCGCCTCCCTTTGTGGATCTAATCTGCAATGCGAACAACGACATTGCATTACAAATTGTGTCTCGGTAAAAACCGAAGAAAAAAAAGGATTTACCAAAGTTTCCAGTACAAGGCTTGAAGCTTTGTCGACTCGGTCCTAATTCTGACTCCCAGATTGTAGAATGGTCTCAGTTGCGAAAGAAGTCTTGCTGTGGTAATTTTATAACTACTTCCTTCTTGAACAAAAGCTACAGCAAGCATCACAACCAGAATTGGTATTTTGAATTTCATTTTGAATCTGAAATGAGAATGGGTTTAGATTGTTTGTGTTTAAACAAAATTCCTAAATTTAAAAGGCTAGTTCTGATATATATTTCAACTTTATAGTGTATACATATGAGGTAAAAACTTGTAATTGAAAAATATATATTAACATAAAACAAAAACTAATAAATTTGCCCCGTCCATGTTTTTATTTAAATTTTTTTTTTTTATTAATTCGGGATCCTGATTGTTTGCGAACTCATTAAAACAATCGTGGTATTAATGATTTTATACGTTAAATATATATTATGTTATTACGGCAATGTCATAAATAAATGCAACTTGATGTTTTTAGTTTCGTGAAATGACAAATTTATAATTCTAAGCTTTTAGTTTTAATTTTAACCGGAATCATGAAAGAAAAAATAAACTTAATTCAAAAATGATAAAGTTGAATAAATATTCCTACCTTACCAACTCCAACAAGTGCTCTGCCAAACAATGACAAGGCTTGAATCCAACATTTCATCACGGACGTTATTATTTAAGCAAAGTCGTATGACCTTAATTGCGGAAATACATACTTCACCCATATGGCTTGGTAATGTACATGGATATGTGAGTATACTCTTGGAAATTTGGAGCAAATATTGCTTTTACTAGAATTTTTGAGTATTGAATGAAAGCGATAAAAAGCTGTCTATGGGATTACAAGTTATTACTTGAGTTTTTCAGTTTTTAAAACAGTCCATGTTTAAATTTCTTTGTCATCGAATCGATTTTAACAGCTGATATAAAAATATAATCATTCTTGATGAATGAATACTCGGAAGATGAATTGTTAGAAACGTGTTATGCATTCGGATAATTCCTCCCATTTTAGGAAAAAACGACCAATTTTTGTGGCATTAAATACGGGAAGTTGATCGTTAAACTGCCAACACAATAGTGTACTGAATCTAATCTATAGAATCCAGCTTTACATTCATCCATTGTTTCACTCAGTTATCGTTTCTGATTTTTAATATGACTCCGTCGTTACCAGATGGAATACGTCTTTTGAAATTGTTGTATGATATTGTATTCAAAATTTAGCACCAGACTTTTGCGCATAATGGATAAATCTCAATTGTAATAAGAATGATAAGAATTTGTAATAAGAAATATCGAGAATTAAATTTCGAATTCTCAAAAACATTTTAATTTCACGGCAAAAATTAGATAAATATAAACCATTTTAAAGGAGTGCATCAGTATATATGTAATGACTGTCGATTAGGCATGTTGAAAGCAAATTCACGATGAAAAATCTTAGCACCTAAATCATATCAATTAATCTCATGTAGCTCTTCCCACCTCAAAGGTTGACAACTATCACATGTTCAAATGTTCTTGTACGAAAATAGATTACATATATGTGTCTTTGATGTAAGGCATCGTCGATGTGTGATTTGTCTGTTAATTATTTCAAGCAATGTTCATTTTGATGCCTAACTGTTCTGATTCAATTCACACTCTCAGCGACAACTGAATTGGGTTATGTGTGAATGAGAAAAACGGTCAACACCTTGTGAATGAAGACGTTCGCGTAGGTATATATTCGAGCTACATGTCTTCGAAAATATTAAACTAGAATACATCAGCAGTTCAGACAATCAAGAGCAAACAACCAACCAACAACAAAACAATGGTGAGAGCTTAATTTAGCGTATATGGCTGTGAACATAGAGTATTAGGATTACGTGACTACTCAAGATTATGAGATTAAGTGAATTATAAATTCGATTCGTTTACACGAATACCTGTTTCAAATATCATTCATTTACTTTTACTAATCACGATCTTGTTTTATTTCAGGCCGAATTCACTGAACAACAAGTTGAAGGTGAGTTAAAATGATATTATTTCAAATTATTTAACAGTGACAGTCACTAATGATGTAAGGAATCGGTTTAACCCAAAAGATAACAATTTGATTTGTTTATAGAGACATATTTAAACTATTTGTCACCATGGAAATATGTTTACAGATATTGTCGAAGCTTTCGAACTCTTCGACAAAGACGGAGATAACAAAATATACTACTACCAAGTTGGCGACGTAGTCAGAGCATTGGGAGAATGCCCAACCAATGAAGATGTTGAAAAATGCATGGAAAACCCGAGCAAAGAAGGTGTGGACCAAACATTTGTATACATATACCAATGAAATTTCGAAAAATAGCTGTTTGGGGGAAAAGCTGCGTGGTGTCTCCTGCTTAGTCAAGTCGTCGATTGGCTTAAATAGTGTCTCACTTGTTAGGTTAAAGATATTCACAAAAGAAAATGTTTTTAAGAATTTCTTATTCTTTTTACATCATTTTTCTCATAACACATGAATAAAATATTGTCTCGAAATGGTTGATACTGTCAACAGCTCCATTCGAAACGGAATCATTTACAACCACGTATGTAGCACTCTAATGGTGTTTAAAGATACCCAATATAGCTTTGAATCACGCTCCAATAAAATGCAACAAAATGCTTTCATGTACACAGATATGAAAGCAAAAAAGCTCACAGTCGATGAATTCAAGCCAATCTTCACCAAAATCATAAACGATGCAGTGAAGGGAACTCAAGAAGATTTCATGGAAGGTTTGAGAGTTTTTGACAAGGACGGCAACGGTACTGTAATGGGGGCTGAAATCAGACACGTTTTGACAACATTAGGTATGTTAGTAACACAACTATTAAACAAGATGTTTATTCTATTCAAGAATTTTTGCTAACCATGAATATGTTCCACCCAGGTGAAAAACTAACATCCGCCCAAGTATCCGCCATGATGCAAGGACAGGAAGAATCTAATGGATCTATTAATTACGCAGGTTAGTTTAGGCTTTACAGATTTGTATATAAATATGATACTTAATTTACAATAATAAATATAAACCATCTAAACTTTTCAAATTGTATTTAAATACACCCAAAATATGTTTGATCAGTTAAAATACGTTGGAAATTTTAACTGATTTCAAATATTTACTTGAAGAATCACAAGACTCATTCACAAGCTTTTGTATAATATGAATCATTATAATACAAATAAGCTGAACTCAGTCCATAATTCTAATTTCATGACATCACTTTCGCTTTGAATAACGTAAATTGAAAGTATATTGTATTAGGTTTCATGTTCTTTAATTCAGAACAATGACTGACAAATGATATTAAATTTTTTTCAGTGTTTTGCAAGTTCCTCCTTGAAGAACCGAAAGCAGCAATCTAACCATTTTTCTTCAAATGGTGCGGACTGTAGTAACATTTTGAAATCGTTTTCACTCACTTATTTGATCATCAAACTTCAAATTTTATTCATATCAATATCATGCTTTTGGAATAAATTGTAATTTTATTGCATTACGTGCCATCATGATCGACTACTTGGGGGTACCATACACCTATTTATTGAACGTCAGATAGGATATTGCCAAGCTGCAAGTCTCAACATGAAAATATTTGGGGCTCCCGAAGTATGCGAACCAAGATGGCGGACATCGGAATGTAATATGTGTACTAGGTTAGGGTTAGGCCATAATTTTAGGCAGTGGCGGCGCGTGGTCATTTTGACAACCGGGGCAAGCTACTGCGGGACCAAGTCACCCCCATCTACGGGGACAGGATGAGCGCTGTAAGTTCTCCCATCATTTTATGAGTATAAAAACCATTTCATCGGTAACAACCAATCGGCAAAAGCGACAATTTTTAACGATAAGAAAGCGTCTTTAAAACCGGTCCAAGTCAAGGGATTAATAAACATAGACATAGTTTATTTTGAAACCTCTTTCAAAAGAAAAGGCAATATTTACCCAGATAAATACAATGACATATTAACAGAAACTTCGAGAAAGCAGACAAAACCTAAAATAAGGTTTAAAACGTTACTATGAAGAAAGGAAAGTTAATGCAAAGATAAGGACATGCGTCGCTCACTCATAGATATATATGCTGCTAGACTTCTACTGCTTGAACATATATGCAACACGCCGCGGTTTCTTGGAAGCAAAATGCTCAATAACGCGCTGATTAAAGTCATGCATCCCAGATATAACGTCTCTGTGAATGGATAAAACAGCCAAGGAATTTAATCTATCTTGCTTCATTGTGTTTCTGAGATACGTTTTAATACGCTTAAGCGTGCTGAATGTTCTCTCTGCGTCGGCGGAAGAAATAGGCGTCGTCAAAATGATGTCCAGAAATTTTGCAGACGCCGCAAAGGTAGTTACTAGAGTGTTATCTATGAGGAACCCACAGAGCGCGCAAGTTGATGTGATGTTCAAAAAAGTTTGCTTGGTGTATATACATCGCAATTCATTTTCCAATTTACCCTCGTTTATCATGGGGTAAAATTTGGAGACAGTAGCCAACAAATGGATGGGAAATTGACGTGCAAATTTTGAAATATTTTTGGGGTTCATCAAAGAGAACGCGGCAAGGTGTTCAGTGCGCAGACGATCGCCTATTTGATTCACCAGAATGTCCCAGCATTCCTTTGCAGACAAAATCACACGCTGCGTTGTTTGCCCGCGGCGTAAAGAAGCACTCCATGTGTCGTCGTATTTTATTGTTTCCCGGATACGAGATACAGCATCGCAGAAGTCTGAAATACACGACTGCACAGACGCTCCATCCATTAGCCTTGACTGCAATGCGCCGTATAATACATCCACGTGATAGAATATTGTGGAGAAAAAAGCGAGAAAAAATGAAAACTCACCATCTTCTAGCAGACGCTTTAGACCTGCCGCCTCCCTCACAGAACGTTCGTCCTAAACCGGAGAGCTCTGAATGCCATTGAAACACTCAATGAGCTCAGACCTAATTTCGGACACGCCCTGCACCACGCGTGATTGGAAGTTCCAACGTGTTGGTGCACAAGCTGGGAGACGGCGTCTACATATCTGGCGAAGGAGGTCAGAGCGCTTCGGCGAAACGGAAAAAAATGAAGAAAACCCCGAAACATTCGCAAAAAATATACGGACGAGAGGGGTATCAAGACACATATTTTTAATAACGAGGTTAAATTGGTGTGCATAACAATGTAAAAAATGCGCATGAGGAAAATCTTCTTTTATATAAACTTGAAACAGTCAAATCAAAATCAAGCCTCGGTACCGGCTTTTCACGTCGGTATCGATAAGGCGGTAATATAGCAGATGAGCGGAAAGTGCTGTCTTTCTCAGAGGATGGCAGTTTGATCTAACGTCACTGCAGTGCCACGAGGTGATGCAATGATAGTAGAAATAGCGAAATTTTGGTTTAAACACCGATTTTCTTAGTAAAAAAAGCTTTTTAACGGTTTCTACTTTCATACGTACTAAAAAAAAATAAGAAAACGATTTTCGGCAGTGTGGCGGCGCATCATGCAAAGCGCAAGGAATACGCTCACCATCGCACCTCTGAGTACCCTACAGATTGAAGTCTCGTGGGCTAATTACGTGCGAGATGATTGCTGGACTTCTCGCCTCCGCAGGGTGGTTCACGAAACCGCTGGTCGATTGCCGTCACCTCCACCATCAAATCCCATCTAATTATTTCGTAGAAAAGCTAATTAAAATGTCACCCCAACAACTTAGCATAACGATCTTTATGTACACTCCGTTTCAAATAACTATTTCACTAGAAAAGATGTATTTTGAAGACACGGAAATAATTGGACACGAAAGGGACATGCAGATCGTTTATTTTAAGCTGTCGCTAAAATAGTTGTTGTTGTAAAAAAATCGCTTTTTTCTTTAACTACTCGACCACTTGCTTTGAAATTTTCACTGGTTAGAGATTGTATTTTTCGCTAGAAGGCTATTATTATTTATTTATTCTAAATTTCCGGTGGGCTTTATGAGATTCGTTTTTTTGTGAGCGATGACGTCATCAAAATTTGCGCACCTTGTGGCGGTCGAACGTCGGTGGATCTCGTGCTTAGCGAATAAGGGATGCTTTTATGGGGAACGGTAGACTACGGTATCTGATCTAGAAATACAGAAGTGACTCTTCACAGAACCTGGAAAAGCTAGGACAGTCCCTGTGCTGTTATAGGTACCGGTAAGTCACCGCATAATATTTCTGGGAATGGATGATAAAATATTTAGTTTTGCTCTCCGTGTCCACATGTTTGAAGCACAGCTCTCTTGTTTTTATAAACAGTTGTTTTGATTTCATTTTATTAATACGAATCGAAGACACCATGATTGCGATGATTGAAAGGAACAAAATATAAACAACAAGGTATGAAAAATAGAATTAATAAAATATATCGATACATCATATTTCCTAAAGCATCCTGATTCCGACATACGTAAAGATAGCAAATAACAGATTTAAGAATAGATTTAATTAAGATGAAAGTAACATAAAGCTTATTCGCGTAAAAGAAAAGATGCAAAAATAAATGCGCATATTGGAAAATGGATTTCCCTTTTATAAAGTATTGTTTGTCATTTGTTTGAGTGTAAATACTCCCATGTTTCCTTCTGGTCTGTTACTATCTTTTTCAGCAACATAGGTAACAGCACAAAACACGGAACCGCTATTTACATTATAAACATAAATTTATATTCTTCATTCTCTGATACACACTCCGAACAAACTTGGGCGTGTGGGGATAAGACATCCTGTTCAACCCAAAATAAGTGACAACCCCCAATAGGTATTTAAGTGTATATATCCGCAGTCTACTCTCTTATGCGGAGTGGTACAGTGCATGTAACACTAAATCAGTATTTGGCACTCAGCAATAGCATAGAAACGCTGCCTATTTAACATTTCTCGTACGTATTATCTTCGATTGTACTTCGAACCCATTTTTCATAAGTTGACATTGGAGCATAAATTCCCACATGGCCCGGTGTTCCACAGTCTGCAAATCCAAATGACGTAACAGCAGCAAGATACCATCTTTTGTTCTTGGTACATACTAATGGACCGCCAGAATCTCCCTGTGAATATTGCAATGTACTTCAAGTAAAATATATCGGAACAGAAAACTTTCGACGTCATAATTAAATAAATGCACTTTTATCGTGATTAGTGAATTTATTTTTAATTTAAGTGAATTAATACCATTTATAACCTGCAGCAGATAGTACAAAATAACACGTGGAAGATCAAGAGTAACTACGAATAACAGAAACGTACTGATGTCAGCAGCACCAAGAAATATACAATAAGAAAAAAAAAATTAAAAATATAACCCTGTCAATAGATATAGCCAAGTCAAATTCAAAAGAATCCCAACACCTACAGAGATGCCGAATTTCATATAATGTAACTAGGTTTGAGAAAAACTAAATTTATAGACTGGACTTAAATGTGCAATACCCATAGCCCAAAAGTTGAAAATAAGATAGAAAGAAAATTACCGTGCACGAATCCGAAGATGCCGTAACAGGATTTCCAGCACACATGTGCATTGATGAATCTAAGAAATATCTGTAATAATCCCCCAACGTACGACATCTTGAAAACTGCATGATTGGTACAGAAGCTTCGCGTAAACTTAGCGAAAGTAGAGCATCTGGTCCCGGGTCTGCAAACAAGGAAAAGTATTACAAGAAAATAACAATCGTGAAGAATTCAACACTAAATCTTTATACAAAAGTATTCTGAATGTTTGCATATTACAGACATATTGATTGTGCACACAAAAAAAGAAAAGTTGGGGTACTATGATGAACCGGCGGTTCTAAACTTTTTCGTTGTGACGCTTTGGAAAGGTTTTCTGGACAAGCGGTGCACCAGTGAAATATATTTAAAATCTATAACATAACAGCTGTCAGTGAATGTTCAATTTATTAATACAACATCAAAACGAAACAAATGTGTATATTTAAATGTGATGTGTCGGCTTGCTTTTTTTTGCAAAAGTAATCTCGGAAAAATTTTCTTAAACCGGTACCCGTATTTCTCTTTCAGCATTTATTAGTGATCTATTTTTGGTTTTATGTCGGCTTCAGCAGAAAAATCCTGTTTCGCAAGCATAGGGCGTAGCCAATGGGATAATAATATCATTCTATTTCTTAGTGCGGAATAAGGAAACAGCTTTGGAAACGTCTTTGCAAACGGTAATCAATCGCGAAAAGAGTGTTAACATGTTTAAATTTAGATTATTTGGTATATATACTTGAAAACAGGAAAAAGTAATATGCAAGTTACAAATATACATTCTATAATTTGTTGCAACATACAATATATATATGAAACTTACTTGTATAGCCCCATCCTGTTACAAAACATTTTTCGCCAACAACTGGTTTTGTCATCCTCGGCATACATGCTGGCATCACATCCTTGGTAATAGGAACCATTTTTCGCAATTTCAAAAGTGCGATGTCATCTGCAGAAGAAAAAGGTTAGGAGGGATTTTTTTTTCTAGCTGATTATGTGTTAGAAAATAAGGCGCTTCAGAAGTATGTGTACCAATATGGAGGTAACTAAATTTTCTCGCCTACTTTACATCAAGTTGAGTTACGGGACGGAAGCCTATGAGCAGGGGGGATATTCACTTGGCAACACAGACAGTCCCCGAACTTGCAATATAACTGAAATAGAGAAAATCTGAATAAAACTATGGCCTAACCCTAACCTGGTACACATACTACGGGAGTACAGAAAAGAATAATATAGCGGCCGAGTCTATAAAGTTTAGATTGGTCGTTCATACTATACTTTAATAATACAATAAGATTGACGGACTAGACTTAAGGAATGCCACGTGGTGGCACGCTATAAGCACAACAATGTAAATTTTGAGTGCAATATCATACCCCAAAAGAAAATTGAAAAAAAAAAAGAATTAATCGCTTCCTAGCAACTTTTTATATCATTAAGTTCTGAACATTTGAAATGATTGATATATTAGTTGCAGAGAAAAAAGTTTTTACTTACTTTTTGTTACCGATTTATATTCGTACTTTGGATGAACAAAAATTCGATCAACAAAATATCTCTGTCCATCTTTATACAGTTTGACCATACCAATAACAACTGCCCATGTCTTTCCTGGATTTCTGTGATTTACAATATACTCCCTAAAGAGAAAAATATTTACATCATGACTTTTGATTCAAGAATAATGAAACTCCAAATAAGAAAAAAAAAGTTTCACAGATCTTGAAATCATTAAAATGAGAAAAAGATTTCATCAATAACACTTACGACTCTTCTGTACAATGGCTTGCCGTGATTACCCATCTAGGATGAATAAGAGTTGCACCGCAAAAATGTTGCCATTCTGAATCCAGTGAATCTCTGTGTTGCCAACTACTTTGCCAAGGCCATTCATGTGCTGCGGATCTCTGAAAAAGTAAATTATTGTCACTGAGTAATTATTCGGACTAGAATTATTCTTGGTTGGACGATGAACCGATTGTGTTACCTCTATCTTACAGTATATATTCGCAATGTCTCTTGTACCAAAATATGAACATCAAAACCGGTTAAATTAAATTTCAACTTTTAAAGTAAATGCCTGTCTCACTAAATCGTGATAATCTTCCTAATTTGTTCTGATAATGATCACATTTTGCATGTCATTTTGGTTTTAGGTGATATTGCCTTAAGCAAAACTGCATGAGAAGCAAACATGAATTGATAAATATCCTGTTATTTTATTAAAGTATTGTTGTACGTGCAAGGACATAACCTTTGTTTTACCGTCGGCAATTATTTCACTGGACAGTCGTTTTGCTTAGTTTTAGTCTAAGTAAAAATTGAACCAAAAAGAAGGATTGACGGACAAACGGTGACAGAATAAAGTTTTCCTTGACTGAAAGAAAATTTGAAAAAACATAGAAGTAATTAGTAAGCTTTTAGTGGCTTCGACTTTAACCTTCTTTACGTAATGAATTAAAATCAAGTGCTCCATTAACTGCAGTCTCCACCAACAACAACAATAAGATAACGAACAACATCATCAAAATAATAAACAATTCAGCAAATTTTTTGGTTCATTCATTTATTTAAAAGTACGTACCGCACCACCGAATATTCTCAAGAAAGCAATTTTTTTTAGATTTGCTACGGATCCGACGCCACATCTGAATCCATTAAACATTGAAATCTTGGAGGATTCAGAGTCACAAGGCTCCCGATAACATGATTCATTATCTGATGTCTCCCCATCGCATCCTGATAAAGAAAATAAAAAAATTTACGTTGCAACTAAACTAAAAAGTTAAAAATTTTAATAAGGTGCTGTTTTCTTATACATTAACCATGACGATCTATCTAGTCTAGACCAAGTTTTTATTCGAACCCTGACCATGGGGGAAATTATCCAGTTGAAGATTAAAAAGCATTATTTTCTACTAATTGCACGGCAACCGGCGGTGTTTTGTTGTGTTAAATACTTTGTTATATTTAACCCTCAGGTAGTTTAAGTCGATAAAACTTCTACGCGTCTGACAACAAGTGATATCGCAATCTCAAATGTTTATTTTAATAATAAACACTGTTTAACATAATCCGTCAATTCACTAGAAAATTGTGATAGTTAGATAGTTCGAGATAGTTTATAAGTTATAAAGAGAAATATTGTGTTTTTTAGACGCGCTATATCAATAACCCATACCTATCGCAAAACAAAATTGTCGAAATGTCATAACATATTTGCTACAAATAACTTGTAGTGCTGAATTTATTGCGTAAGTTTTAGCGGTTTTATATCAAATACAATACCTGTGGTTTTTCTTCTAGCACAATCCGCGAATATCACTTTTACAATCTTGAAAGGGCGAAATGAACTATAATATGACTTTCTGTGGATTTGCACGCTAGTCTGCGGTGCCGTGGTGGACATTTTCAACACAATTGTGATAAAATAGGTCATGTTTTTCAAATATGTGTCATTAATATGATTTTAAAAAAGAATTATTCATGGGAAGTAGGTTACGAAAAAAGCTTATACGTCTTGAAATCATTTTTTAAAATCTTTATTGAGAAGCGGCAATCAGTGACTAAATTCAATTCAGGAATTTTAGGAACTTTTTTGAATTTCCATCCTTTTTGTGTTTGTTTCGTGTGTTGTCATTTTTGTATGGCGAAGTCCAAAATGAATTATCTGTCTGTCTAAATAAATACCTGTCACTCCAATATCTCCGTTTTCACAAGTCCTTGTTCGACGTCTCGTACCTTTACCGCATGTCACAGAACAGCAAGAAAACATTGACCATTTTGACCAAGATGGACATTCCTAGAATGTTAAAGGAAAAAGTTTTATGACTTCATCCATTTCAGAGCTGCGAAGATGAATTTCTATATTACATTTATATATCAGTGTGATGTTATACATAACCGTGACATGTAGTCATAACCTATGGGCTTAAAACCCAAAACCGGTCCAAAATATTTTATTAAATTAAGTCTTGATTCACATTTGAGTCACAGACTTGACTTCTATTTAGTGAAACAACTTGACTAGAATCATATAAATCCAACCGCATTAATCCGATTCGTGACTTTCACAATGATTGTGTGGTAAATAATCATTGAAGTGTTTTGCTAGTTTGGCATGACTTCTAATACGTAGAATTGGCTAAATTAATAACAAGTATCTGGTAAATCCTCTTAATACTTTAACCGATCGACCTAACTCAATTTAATGAAGTGTAACGTGACTTAAAGTCGATCGCGGATGGCTCCTCAGCTGTAACTTTGAAGTTGACGGCAAGCGCGAAGCCGGCATTAGTCATATTCTGCAGAATAATATTTTATCCACCATATTGCATTATATTACCAAATAATTTCCCCCATCTCTCTCATTCAGATATACAATTCACGGGGCTCCGATACTAAGGTAAATGAAGTCACTGTGTTTAACATTGTACGCTAATTTACTCCTAATGTACATCTAGAAACAAAAATATAATACCTGTATATTACAACGTCCAAAGTCTTCTGTAGGTCCGTCACATGACTGATGATCAAGGCATGTCCGGGTTCTTCTTCTGTATCCGCCGTTACATGATGCTGAGCATTCTTCATATTCTGACCATTTACTCCAAGAACTGTCAGAGCAAGTCTGAGTAAGAATGAATATAATATTATAAGTTATCAATAGTATTAAATATCTTCTTTATGCATAGATTATAGACAAGTTTGATTTAAGCTGAAAAATAACCAGTTGAGAATATAACACATTTAGGCCTACTTCACATATTAATTGTTTCATGTCATTACGCGTGAAAGGTGTGACGGGAACTCCGCACAAGAGTATATTCGAGATGTCTTGAAATCAATGGTATCTTTTCTGTTTTACATGGCCTATTTAACTTGTGAGTGGGTCTAGGACCTAGGTGATGTAAGCAGGCTTTTTGTACTTCCAGTGATGATGGTATCGAAATCTATCTCAGATCTCATTCCAACTGTATAATACAAAGAAAAAGATCTCATATTAGCATATTCTGTACAATTTAATGGAAGTCATCCAAACGTTACTTTACATATATTTGTCACGGTTACAGCTAATTCTACTCAATGTTCGATTAAACTCAAATATAACATTAATCCTGAATCGTCGATTTCATTACCTCTGTTTCACATTCAATCTTGTCAACCTTTTCTCCTTCACAAAATGTATATTCAGGCACGATTGTTGATGTTCCCCTACATTCTCTTGTTCTCTGTCTGCTTCCCGGTTTATCTCCGCATGTAATCGAGCATCTACTGTAGGGTGACCAAGCACCCCAGCAGGGAGGAGCATAACATCGACGATACATAAATTTCCTTCCAGTGCAAGTAGCTAATAATTAAACGTAAAAACAAATTAGTACATGTCATTTCATCATAACTACCATTCTATATGGCTAAGCATAATTGACTTCGCTAATAGTGATTTCTTGTTTAATGTAGCAGACTAGTAGTGTATGAAACAGCGATAATTATGCAAAACATTTTATTGAAATTATAAAGTTTTTAAATCTAATTATTTGCCATAAAGATCAGTTTCTCTGAGGTGTTTCAGGTGTCATGTCGTGCTTCAGATTTTTGTTTTTAGCCGCGTTGTTTGGCGACATTGCTGCCTCTCATTAAGATATTACATACATAATGTTTACGAAAGTGTGACAATGTTCGTGACCTGTTTGACTATTTAATGACTTTATTGACATAAAATCGCTTTAATGCGGCAGATTTTAAGTGTAACAGTGCTGTTACCTGACAATTTTGTCACATTATAGTAGTTTATAAAGTTTTAATTAGTAAATCGTACAGTTTCTGTATCACAATGTTACAAGGTAGAAAGGCGATAATAAGGTTGTACATTTCACTCATTAAACAAGTAAGTTATGAAAAAGTGTGAAATAATATATAAACTTGTTTATTTTAGTACTAACTAAAACTTCAATCGCCATTTCTATGTTATTCGGATTACATTTCGTCGTACCTTGTTCCAGTTTATGGGGAGATAATGGGTTATGGTATTGCTTTGGCCTAATGAATTACTCAACGCAAGTAATCGACTATGTTTTTATACAATAAATTCGTATATTCCGCCATAGATTCAAAGACAACATTAAAATTAAATAGGCTACTTGGAAAGAAAAATGATTCCCCGCTACAAATCCTCTCTCGTCTGCTTATTCCTGAGCCACAAGTCGTACCACATCTTGACCACGATGACCACTCGCCCCATTCAGCTGGGCACCGTTGCAGAACACATCTTCTTTCCTCTTCCGATGATCCCTCTTCGGGGCACAAATTCGAGTCAACAAATTCTGAAAATACCAGATAAGTTAAATATAAAACCTCACTTGATTATTTCCTGTTTCAGTAAACCCATATTTATCACGCACAAAAATATAAACGCCACTAAATAAAAGGAGACAGCGATAAGGCATTCCAAAAGCACAAGGACTACAATAAAATAGAGTTTGGGTGGCTTTATATTAATTTCAGTAAATTACGCATTTACTCGATAAACTGTCGACAAAAGATAAACAAATCGGATTTTACTCAATGGTGTTAATAATTACTATTAGTTGTATGATTTGCAGCACTTACTAGAACAACTATATAATTTCAAGAATAAAAAAACAGCATCGACTAAGTTTCAACTTGCATGAGCCGCCATTAAGTATAATTTCCCGCATGAGTTAATATAATGACAGATAAACTATAAATCGGAAAACAAAATGACCATTTAACATTTATCAGCCATCAAATGTTTATAGCCATCATAAACCTCGAATCGTTAAGAAAATGCCCAGCTATTTCCTTGACCGTGATAACTTTATTTGTCCCAAGTCTCGTGCCAACCGATACATATTGACGCAATAAATTTATATACTGGAACCAATAAAGCACGTTACACCTTTCAATCCCAAAGAGAAATACCTTTCACTGGCTGACTCTGATGGAAACCGGGTCTCGGAGGAGATGTCGTCTGTTCGTCATCTAATGTTTGCTGTGGTGCATCAACGACAAACACTTCTTTGCCTTCGTCATTGAGGAAGAGTTTTCCGTTTGACGTTGGTGCCTTTTTAGGTTTTGCAACTGCCCCATGTCGTGGTTTAACCACCGCCTTCTACATTTCAAATTAAAAAGAACAATGAACAAGAGAAATGTATGACGTCGCATGTATTAACGATGGACGAAAATTTACAATATTTGTATAACTAGATATTTTTTCTACATTGAATCCTGTTAAATTGTTTATGCCCTCTTGTATCTCAGTCCAACAGTGAACTCCCTCAAAAAACCCTCTCATGGGGAGAGTTTTAAATGTCATTGAATTCTAAATCATTTCTACATATTTATTATTTATGTAACAAAATTATTTGGATCCATTTCAGTCACAGCTGTTCTAGCCAACATAATGCACGGAAGAAAAAACCTTGACGAAGTTCAGAACAAACAGTCAATAAACTATATATATATGTTATGAAAAGCCGCACCTTATTTTTATTTGATTCCTGTAGATTCGGCCTTTTCCTTTGTAAACCAGAATCAAACTGTCGGTTATTATTGGGTCTTTGCTGACCACCGCTTGCTGTAGAAACAATTATGCTTTTCAAATTCCAGAAACATTTACCGTACTAAAAATACTACCTAACGACCTACTAATTGAATACCAACTATCAAAAGTAATTTTCTGATTATAGAAAGATGAACAAAACTAAAAAATGTTGGGGTAAATTATCCAATAGAAATACCATAACAAAAGTTCATCAAAACCAAACTGAATCCTTAAATGTATAGATTATCAGTAAAACCGTTCTGCTGACAAAATATAACTAAATGGTAGCCATTCAAAAGCAATTTTAGAGTGAGTGATTGAAGAGCAACAGTCAATGCTTACTAAGTTATTAATTGTTTTAAATTAAATAAGTATATTGAATAAGAAATAAATTTTACAGAACAAAAAAACTTACCCTTTACATCAAAAGACACGTATCTGTAAGATAAAATATTACAAAATGTGGTGATTTCTTGACAAGTATGAAACGAGAATATCGATCAGAGACCTAAGACTTATCGATCGAAAGTTAGGGGATCCCCCAAAACAGCGCTCCTACTCCATAGTGACTCTTGTGTCCCATCACTAATTGATTATTAACTAGCTAATTATACAACATAATTCATCCAAAATCAATGGGCTTCTGGTACGACATATGATGAATGCACATGCAAAATCTGGAGCAGAATCAATCTCGCTTTCGTGAGATATCGCGCGCATCTAACAGACAGACAAACAAACAGACAGACAAAGACCTATCAACATACTTACCGATTAAAATCAATAAGCAATAATCTTATTGAAACACTTAGGGTAATATTTTCAATAACTTCAGTATAATAGATGCAGACAACACAATCTCCATAATCATATCAGGTCACAGATTTATATTAATTATTATAAGAGTGACAAACCGCTAAATTCTTGTACGTGTACGGTTTTGGTAATAATTTTCTTCAGTTACGATATTAATTTCTATAACAATTTATAAAGTTATGATTATAAAGAATGTCACCTTTCAACTATGCACTTTCGTTCTCTAAATGAAACACCATCGTTTCCACATGTCTTTGAACAACTACTCCATCTACTCCACTCGTCCCACATAGGACAACTAACAGAATATTGGCAAGGTCTAGATTCTAGAGTTTTGCCTTCACATGGTCTGAAAAAGATAGGAAAGTTTGATCATGTCCGTATAGATATTTTGAGTAGGGTTATGATTTATATCAATGAGTTTCTACTATTTTGATGATAGGTGATAATTTAGAAATGACGGCGACGCTGTTTTGATAAGGCAGTTAGTTATCTCATAATAATAACAACCTGATCTAATTTGATGATTTAATAAAGTTGATTAAAAATGATACAGTGGAACATTATTACTTGCTGAATGTAGACGTAAGATGTGAGACGTAATGAAATATTCTTGTGAAATAATTTAATCTCTGCAAACGCAACTTATTGAACCTAAATAAACTGCTTGACATTTATAAATATGTAAACAATAACATCCACGGTCAAGAACTTAGGATGTCAAGTTATGGTAAAAGCCTAAACGCCCTTGCTGTGTAGCGGTACTTCGTACCATCAGTGCCAGTCGATTGTATCACATTGCTATGAATTCTTTCATTGTCCACACTTGAATGTACTCGAACATGACTCGGGATAGCTTATTTATCACAATGAACTGGGTTGTTTTAAAATCAGTATCGTACAAATACAAATACTATGTCCAAATTTTAGCCAGCATGGTAAAATATTATTGCGGATAATCTTTGCAAAAATGTTTGGACGGTATTTTTATACGTATCGTGAAATAGATACAATTTTAATCAGTGTGATCAAGAGGATAACCGCAGGCATATTGTCCGATTACAAATCTGGTTTAGGTATAGATATAGCAAACCAGTTTAGCATTTCAGGTATATCAACCTAAATGGAGTTACAATACCATAACCAAAGTATAGAAAGAACCCTCGTGAAATATAGCTACAAAAATAAATAAAATTATTCAAAATTTTTACATTGTCACCATATCATGATCGACGGGAGATAACTCATAGCATATCCTCGTTCTTGTCTGCTCACCGTTCGTACCACAAGTCACGCTGCATTTACTCCATTCTGACCAGCGAGTGATTCTGTAATATGAAAGGATTTACAGATATTGTTTTATTTATAACAACTGGTAGCATGGGTACATCCAGCGGTGGGAATCAGGTGGTTAGCGAGAACCCGTTATTGGGATGTCACGACATCTGCGAACCCATTCTTGGGCTGACGACTAGCGTTCTATGAGACGTTTCGTAAATTATGTACTAGATTTATGTGAAGCGAGTTGTGTCACCGTGTTAATGAGGGAACCTCTTGACGTTGGTTAGATACGAATAGAACATTTACTAAATATTCTGAATCCTAGGGTTGGGTGCATGCCTCTGTAGCTGTGAACAATATGTACTGCTCTGCAACATACAAATACATGATTTTTGTACTGTTATGGTAAAATATTATGTTCAAACACTGAAAGGAGTTTGGTATCAGATTATAAAGCATTGAATTGCAACGGATTGAAATCGGTTTCTTCATTAGCCTATTACTGCCCGTTCGCATAGTTGAAAGGCATGTACATTTAGCTCATGCAAAATCATATCGAATGAGAACAGTTTCTCAAATATTCAAACAAAATGGGGTATCCAACCTTGATGATGGCGGTGTTGCCTTTGTCTCAACTTTACTAGTTGTACATGGACTTGCTTGACACGGTTGATGATCAACTAGAGAATCTAAAATAAAATTATAATTATTTCATAAACGTATTTAATTAGTACTAATTGCTAATCACACAAAAAGTATTTTTTCGAAAGAGCATGTACTTGTGTAGCAACTTTTCAAACAAAGAGGGCCATGTTGCTCTTAAAAAATTTGTCGATGTGTAAGCTATTCAGTAATGCAATGAGTCTGAAATCTACTTTTTTATGCGATGCTTATTTACATTTTTGCTCTGAACCAGACTCTATTAAAGAAACCACTGATATCTAACGATATGTGTAAAGCTACTAGTATTTGGAAAGACCGGAATCTTTCAAATTTATCACACTTACCATAATTACAAATTGCGTAATCGGCAGCAGTTAAATTATTTCCAAAGCAAGTTCTTGTTCTCATTTGTCTCCCAGTAGCTCCACATGATTTTGCTTTGCAAGACATCCACTGACCCCATTTTGAAAATGTGACCCTGGATCGACTCTTAAAGGTGAAATGCATCAGTTTTATAATCACCCGAATTAGTTCAAAGTTTGAAGAAATTAATAAATAATATGAGAGTGAAGAATTGATCAAGAAGACTGAGATTCTCAAATCTGTTACTACGATGAAACAGCAATATGCTAAAAAAAAATTCCAATTTACTGAAACTTGACTTTCACATTTACAGTCTTCAATTGTATATACGTATATATATTATGTCAAGGATTTTATCCCATTTAAAGTGCCAATCTCATTTTACATTCTTTTCACATTATTTTTTATTGGGAGTTTTTTAGATTGATTTTTAAAAATTAAAAATGGCATAATATTGCATAACCATCCTACAAGCTATTATTTCTCTGTTTGGTTTGTATTGGTACTATTGGTTATTTTTGATGTTCGTTAATTTCATAAGATAACTCATGTTTTAAATCGATTTCCACAACCGTCTAATGACCTCATATAACACCAATTATCATGGTAATTATTTTAATTGTGGTGCTTTTCCAACTTTACATATACCGACGAAAGTCTGTTTTGCCGGGGATCGCATTACACAACTTTAATAATCATTTACATTGTTATAATATTCAAATAATATGTCATTAATAAACAGTTTTTGGCATCAGCATAGTATTTCGTACGAAATGAACTATGGTTTAAGGTTTCAATATGAAGCCATGTATATTTTCCCATACGAGTTGAGATAATACATAAACCCTATTTTATGAAGCTCATTATTTAACATTTTGTAGAATTTTTACGGCCACCAAAAAACTCAATTAACCAAAAAAAAATCCACACTTGCATTGTTCAAGTCTCGTTTTGAATACAAATTCAGAAGTTTTTTTGACAAAAATTATTAAATTGACGATTTCAACATCGCGTTTATACGTAATCGGACACGTTTTGTAAGTATTAATAAATAAAAATAAGATTAGATAAAGATCAGTCCGTGGTCAGCAATGCCACTTGAAATAAATATATAAACAAAGAATTGACCTCAATATCCGCAAAACGCAAAAGATTATCTTAATATCAGCAAATCGATAAACCTGGATTTTTGAGGTTGAGAAACAGGTTTAGTTAAATACAATGCATACTTACTTCTTCTTTAATTATAGTCTATTATATAATTGGGCCTTTAAAAAGTTAATTTGTGTGACCTCAAAAAAAAAAAAAGAGTAACGATAGACTTTCGTCAATTTATGAATTTAGTAAAGTCAATTTCGTTACGTTAAAATCATTAAACGATATTGTTATTATATTAATGGTTTTCAAACAAGGGTTCTGCCAGTACATTCATATTAAAAAACTAAAGATTCAGTACTCACATTTCGGGGTCGCGGAGAATCGTATAACTTTGGTCGTAACGGTCTTGTTATGGTTTTAGTCATCTTTTTACCATTCTGTAAAATGACTGGTTTCACCACCGTTAATGATTCGGATGATTTCATGCTAAATTTCGGCTTTGGCAAATTTTTTCTTTGTTGCCAGGACGAGTTTTTTCGGTTTGTTGAAACTTTGGACGAGGACTTTTTTGTGGGTCCAGACAAATTCTTTTTTTTATTTGAGGCAAAAGTCTTGTAGTTTGATTTTGTCGCTGCGGTTGTTCGCATTTTTGGCCGTTGTGTGGTCGACGGTTTTGCTTGAGATGAATATATTGAATTGTTTGGTGATGTTTTTGCAACGTTCGTGAATGAGGTAGTTGCATTTTTATTTCCTGAGTTGGTTATGTCAGATTGATGAGTGGTAGCAGGTAATCCTGTTGTTGGAGTTGATGAAGATATCCTTTTTACATTACGTGAATCTGTAATAATTGGAGTCGGACGATTTCTTTGGGTAGATGTAACTGGACCACCCCCTCTTGCTTGTGGTTTAGATTTACCAGGTTTCGTTTTTTTAGCCGAAGGATTTTTCTTCCAGGAACGCCGTTTTGTCGGGGGTTTTAGTGTTGTCCGTGGTTTAGGCTTTGGTGTTGTAGATGTTCGGATTCTTCTTTGGTTGGCTAAAATAGCTTTACGTTGTCTCATAATTTCCAAATTTTGTCTCCTCACTTGACGCCAGGAATTAAGATCGCGTCGCATTCTCAATGTTTTTTTCAGGGTTTCTAAAGGAGCTTCGTCAATCGATTCATCTTCTGGCTGACCTGCGTCTACAAAATCGGATTTTAAAAAGTTGAATAAGAACACGAGAGGCCATTTTGAATGCCGCAATCGTTATTATAAAAGAAGTGCGCGTATTATCGGGTCGTTATACACTTATTTATCTTAAAATATCGGGTAACAAGGGTGATATTCCAAAAACTGAAAATTACTTAAAATACACACTATATGTTTACCATCGTCGTATCAAAAAGTACCGATGATTTTTTCAGGCATGCGCCAGAGATGACCTATGACTATTGTTCAATTCGCTATGTAATCGACAACCACCCACGAGAGTATAGTTATTCAAAATAATCTGACCGGATGTCATGTTTTCATTGCAGATATTATTAGAAATATGCCGGCGAAATCCAAATTCACTTTATTCATTTTTTTTTACAACGAGAAATTAAAATGGACTTCTCTGATTACAAAATAACATTAAATAGCTCAGAAAATTCAATGTATTCAACAATACTTTTATGAAAATATGTCGAATAAAAATTATGCGAGGGAATATGATATGTATCTAATTCCAAAGAGATAATGTAAGCCACTCTTCTCGTCAAGTTACATGTGGGTGTAATATCAAATTCTAGTGCAGTCCTTATCGTGACTGTTGTCTGGGAGGAAAGGGGGCGTGACCGACAAGCAACCACGCCATTGAATACAATTTAAGACTGATTACAACACACTGTCAAATGACTGCAATATAGAGAAAGTGTGTCGGGTGCAGTGTATAATTAGACAAACGACGATTTGCTGTCCAAATACATAACAACGATAATTATTTCTGTAATTCTGTAAAGAAACGTAATTTTAGCTTGCATGCATGTTCTCCGAAACAAAAAATAAAATTTAGATGAGGAAAGTAATACGAATACTTTGGCAAATAATATCAGTTTCTGTAACTAATGTAGACCACAGTGTAAGAATGCAGAAACATGAATATCGTTTTGATATTATCATTATGATTGTTACATTTAAACCGGTTTAAGAATAAAATATTCTTGAAACTTTGAGATTCCGGAGTCGCCTTAAGGTACGTATAATATGTTTTTAATTTTATTTGTTACAAAATTCTTAAAAATATTAGTATTTTATTATCAACACTTTATAATTTTGAAGTTTTTAAAACGAGTGAACATGTCAAAATCGGGAGGTTGAATAGCTTTTTATTTTTATTCAATCGCACGTTAGTTTTTGTTACAATTCGTAATTTTTCGTGACGATTATTTTATCTCAAGCTAGCGATAGACAAAGTAGCAATCAATCTATGTATGTGATTTTCAATAGGTAATATTTAAATTAATACTATTCAATTGGAAAAATTATGCAAAAATATTTGATAAAGATATTTCTGAATTTTGGAGTTCTACATATTATTACAAACCGAATTTGTTTAGAATTATGTTCCTAGAATGAGTATTGAATGAGTTTCGATAACAGAAATCCAAGAAAAATAATCTTTTTTCAAATTCTTTATTCGTGAAAATTATAATTGTGTATATATATGGCGGGAAATAATAATATTAATACGCGAAATACGAGTTCAATTTTTGGCCCATTTTACGGCTCCTATTCAACCCATTACGAATATTTTCATTCAGATGCTTTTATTTTCTCGTATATTTCCGGCGTGATCAAAATATATTTCCGTTACTTCTACCGTAATACATTAGGTCTTGAAATAGAAAAAATAAAATATCTATAGTTCAACGTTTTTGGTCTATCGTGACATCGTGTACTATAAAATAAACATTGGCAAAAAAGTACTCGAACTCAGAATAGCATATAACGTGTTCAACTATTTATATGAACTAAACATGTGGGGTAAGGTTTAAGATGAGAAAATCGCTACGTTACATTTAAAACTAGTTCTGTTTTGTGACGTAAAAATACGTGATTGGTAAAATATAGGAATTTAACTTCTTAAAGAAGGAAGTATACAAGGATTACAGACACATTCATAACAGTTCTGAAAACCCCAATCGAGAAATACTCTCCTATGCGTATGCTTGACCAAAGTGAAATTAAATTGTTCAACTAATCGAAGATTAGCGGTCATTCGAAGCTCAACCAATTACCGGATGCGGCTTAATAACTGGTTAGCACGTTAAAGACCTATTTAATTTGTGACGAGAAATGTGAATGACTAGACATAAAACAACGTAATCACGTCTGTTCTACAAATTGTACACTGAACGCGTGGTAATTATGTCGAAAAGTACATGGCAAAAGTTTGCAAGGTCAGTATTAACAAGCAAAATAATTGAATTTAGTTCATTACAGTAGAAATGGTCAATTTTCACTACAGCTACTTTTCATGGAGATAACGTGTCATTTGTTTTTGTTTTCAGCATAAGTCTTCCAAAAACTGCCAATATATCATGTTCATGTATCACGAATATCCATATAAAAAATGGTGGCATTTTAAGTGCATTTCCTATCGACATGCAAAGTTACTGAGGAATCAAGATTTACTGGAACTAGATTTGTAGCGGTGCATAACGCGCAAGTGCATAACGCTCATTGGCACCAATCAACAAAGTTTGCTACTACCCTCTACCCCATTACCCCAAATGCCCTACCGTCTACCCCAAATACACCACTAAATGATTTTCTCAATGTTTCACAGAGTAGAGTAGAGTGTTTATGTGAGCTCACATTTTGGAAGCGAGTATATCTCACAACTAAAATCCTAACTCGAAATTATGCAATGTTTATTTGATCAATTCAAAGCTTGTACTTGTACATTATGAAATGATGTGATGACTATGTTTTGTACGAGAATATAACATTCAACCACGTTTGCTGACTCACGCGACGAATTTCTAAAAACTTTATAGTAATGGACGACTTGCCTGTTCTTTCTTTTAATTTAATTATACATCTATATTTTAAGATGAAACGTATAGTGTCAATCTAGATTATTATGCTATAAATCTATACCTGATACACAAATATATGGGTTTGGCACATATTATGAGATATGATTTATCTTCAGGCACAATGTGCCAAATAATTAATGTTCGATAGATATTTTTTATGCAATCCTGGCGTGAATCGTTCTACCAAGATTGTAATAAAATCCAACCGGAAATATCTCAGTCATTCCAAACATGTTAGCTTTAAAATCTAATAAGAAATCATGTAATTAGAAAGACATGATTGTGAGATTAAAATGGTGTACTCGTATATTTGAATATGGTATAATCTAACATATTGTTTACTTTCGTCCTTTCTACAATAAACAGAATCGCTCTAGGCAACGCATCAATGAAGTTCAATTAGAGAGCCACTCGTGTGGTTAATTGCAAAACCACCTGAATTATAATTAACACTCCACAAAGTTCATTGCGACAAATTGCCAACATAAACATCACCTGCAATTACCGTAAACCGTACCGCAAAGCATTTTAAATGAACACAGCTTCCATGAATTTGAATGACTTCATAAATGAAAGCGTGTTTGAAAATAGCAATTGTGCGCGTTGTCATGATCCATGCACGGTGTAACCATGCGTCGGAGCGTGCATAAATAAACCGTTCAGCCGATACATGTTTGTTTATGTTCAGCTATCTATTACTATTTTCGACCAGCGTATAATGGTGGTGAATATTAGCATAAAGCCGTTTGCAAGCCCAAATAGCTAAAAAAAAAAAGATAGCGTCGATTTGAGGAAAATACTTTGTTTCTTTCGGAGTACTTTGATATTATAGTTTTAAGATACGACATTGTCTGCACGTTTTTTTCAAATTGGTCGCGACTGACCGCCGACCTTCAACTTCAACCAAACTATAAACGGTGATGGATGTTCGATTCTATATCCAAGTTCAATTTAATGTACAATATAAATTATTACTATCATGTATAAAGGGAAAAATTTACAAAACTATTGCCAACTGGTAATTTTATGAAAATTTGCTATATCGATATTGCTGCATATGAAGTTGACTTCGAAATCCTCAGATTGCTAGCCATTGAACTATCAAATATGCGGGGAAACAGAGAATCTGACTAAAAATTCGCTCAATTCATCCAATAATTTTAACTGCCTGTGTCCGCGCAGGGGGTATTGGTGAGAGTTAACAGATGATTAGGCTCAATTCCAGTTATACACACACAAGTTAATTACTCTAGTCGTCGAATGATACAAAGCTTTATTTAATAGTCTATAATTCTACGAAAGCGTTTGAATAAACCCCACTCACCTTCCAATTCCGTTAACATTGGGTCGTGAAAAACAGCTTCCATCTGTGACAAGTTTATCGGCATTGTGTATTCCTCGTTATCAAATGGACTTGCTTCAGTTTCTAAATCTGCACTATCTCCATATTCATCAGGATGATCGGTGGGTGATCCGAGGTGCTGGGGAAACCATCGGTACATTACAGGACGAGAAAGACCTCTTGGGAGCTCCTCAGGATTGTTAACTCGGTCTTTTTTACTTTCTTCCGTGGAAATATGAGTGTTTCGTTTCCGCAAAAGTTTGTACATTTTGTCGTCACGCGATGACAAAACATTGTCAGAGTGCGTTTCTTGCAACGCTAAAGAGTTATAAAAGTCGAGATCTTCTGCATAAAAAGTGTTCACAGAGCTAGAATGCTGTCCTGCGTAGCATGTTGGTAAAAATTGAAACACGAGGTATATGGAGCAACAAAGGTATGCTGCCGATTGGAGTGAATATTTTGTCCTTGACATTGATTCTTTTCGGAAGTGTTTGTCTTTGGCAGAATATATTCTTACATTATCAAAATACCACACCATCGCAGGTGCTTATGTACTGAAACCCTACACTAAAACTATAACCAAAATTGAGCAATTTAGTTAATATCATGACATTCAATACCACCCAAAAAGTGATAAAACAAAGTTAAAAATAAGGTGAAATAATTTAACATCAAATATTTTGTAATTCTCCGACTCAAAAAAGATTTCCAGTCTATAAAACTTGAAATACTAAATGACGGCCTTAACGTTGCGCAATGGAAGAATGCAACAATGTCGGACATAACATTTGATCGACGCGGACGAACAGCATTCTTCTGAAATCGTGATCCGTATTATCTCGCGGGTCGCTTTGCCACAAGTCCTGGCTTCATTACTGTCATTGTCGCAGTGACTTTAATTTGAAGATTTGAACAAAACAAACAAGTACAGATATAAGTGGAAAACTAACGTAAACGTGAATGTACAACTTAGCCCGCTTAACCGGTTCTACTTTTTCTTCTAATCCTATTGCCAAGCAATTCTTTCGCTAATCTTTGCTACGACGACTATGCACATTGCAGCAGCGCCGACTATTATCTAAATGATTTATCTATAAGTGTGGCACAAATAAGCGCAGCCGAAATAAAATAAATCCACCGCAATAAAAAGACGTTGCCGCCTGCCCAAACGAGGTCCCGCCTCAGGCGTGTTGTCATCTAATCACAACCAACGATCATTTGTTTCGCTATAATCACTCTCTGGTTACCAGTCGGTCACGGTACATTTTGCTGAATTACTATCGCTGATCTTTAATTGTGTGATATAAATTTTTATATCATTAAACACTATAGTAAATTTTCAAAATCTGCCGATTATGACACCGCGCCAATATTACCACGCTAACTGTATCTATAACTAATAAATACCAGTCGAATTTCTGCGTTTTTATCATAAATATCGTTTCGGTCTGTGATCGAATTCGAAAAAAAATACAAAATTTATGGATCACGTTTTGCGCTATGCCCATTGATAATTAAACTGATCCAAAGCGAAGTGTACATAGCCTAACTTTAGCAAAATACGCTTGCTAGAAAAGGATAATCAACGCAAAATATCTGGCCATGGATCAATACGTAATGTCATCATTTCTTTGTCTGGGTTGTTCCAGATATGATCCACATTCGATAGGAAATCCAATTGAGATTGAGAAACTGTTGGGCAACTGCATCGTTGGATTATAAAAATCAATTTGCATATAGAATAAAACACACGACATTTCTTTGAAAAAATGGAGTGAAGTTGGACTTTTTAGTCGGATAAAACGCAAATATTAGAGAAATCGTCTTTAATAACAATATTTAAGCATCCGTTTTTATGCACGATAATGACATAATTACTAAAGACACAACAGAAACTGAAAAAGTTGGAATGAATATACGGATACATCACAATTTTATGAATATAGCGTGATTCGATTAGATAGAATCGAAACTATTTGAATCACTAAAAATAGTCATCTATATGATTTAATAAATACGTCATTTGATTAAGAATGATGCATAAAGTGTATTTCTCCTTCGACATACCATTCTATTCTGTCACTATTCACTATCTCACCCTCTCTTCTCATTACACATACTCACTCACTGAGTTTTCAAAAGCAATGGCCACTTTTTGCAATGGCCACAAAAACCCTTTCTTACTTTGATTTATGTTTCTATTATTTCCTATTTTGACCAGAAGTAGTACTTTTGTAGGATAAATATATATCGGGATACTTAAAATTTATAATGAAATTCGCTGAATGTGAGATCACAACAACAAACTCGAAAGAGGATAGGCCCAACAGAAGGCAATTTAAACCACTATGTTCCATGTCTGGAAAAAACATCGTTTTGTTTTGACTTCACCATCCAAATTCTTAGTTTGACCAGTTCACAAAACGTTGTTATTACACTGTCGCTGTCACTCAATGTCAATTTTATGACAAAAAAGCTTCTTCAGAATCGCAATGACTCAGACACAAAAATAACGAGCGATGAAGCCAAATCTCATGTGACTGAATACGAACTATAACTATACTATAATTTTATTAACAAAGAGTAATATTGGTATTGTTTACGAACAGAAAGTTATTGTTTTTAGATCTGACCACCAACCACTAATATTCACTACTACAGAAACAAGTCACCCTATCTTTCCCTCAAGGAAACAACAAACTTTTCACGTTCATAATTTCTGCAGACGTAATCATATCAATTGATATTCACGGTTTTCCGCATCTTATCAATCTCCATTTAACTTATCTAAAACGCGTAAACGGAAATGGACGTTTTCTAGTTAATGATTATTTATAAACAATTTCAGACTTTCCTATAGATTTAAAATAAATTATTTATTTATTTTAATAGACTAAATTCAACGATGACAACACTTCTATTTATATTGGTTATTATGAACAACATTCATTTTGATCGATGTGATGTTACGATTGCATTTTAAAAGCAATAAAAGATAACATTAGCTCAATAAATTCTCTCAATAAAATTGAAAAATAATTTTAGTAATCACGTTTAAGTTGGTAGCATGACAAGTGAATTTATATTATAGATTCAACTTGCAGTTGAGCCTCAAAACCCAAGAGAAATATTGGTTTGGCATATGAATCTAACTTGCTATAAATTATGTCGTGCATTTATCCACAGCCGAACACGTTTTCAATAATATACAGCAGAAAATGATTTCTAACAAACTAATCTCAATTAAAATCCAGGTGGACGCACTTCGTCACAATTGTCTCCAACGTGGTGATTAATTTGTCACTTGAAAATAATAAATAATTACATTGTCAATTTATCAGAAATATTCTGCGAGCAAGTTTGTCGAAATATTGTAGGTTTATTATGAAAATATATTTTAATAGTCAATCATTAACTTATGGTGAGCAATAATTTGGACCCAAAGCAGGGTCATATTACAAAATTTGACCCTTAAAATTATTTTGGACATTTTAGTTTGGATGAAAACACAGAAAGAGAAATTGCTGTTTGTCGTGAACCTAAAAAACTAAATTACAATATGCGAGCAAAACCTGTAAAACGAATGTTTTTGGTATAGAGCGTGGAAACAATTCAGAAATCAGTTTCCACTCATCTTGACTTTTATATGAAGCGTTTGATCTTTTATTCTAAGTCATTATATTTTCCCTAATTCTATCATTTTGTGTAAATAAGATACGAAAATACCTAAAGCGGTTACAAACTTATAGAAAATTAACCCGGGATTGTAGTTGGGACGCAATTTTGTATACTCATAGTGAAAATATGCAATATCTCACAAAGTAAGTGAGCTGCAGAAACGGGAACAATATTCAATTAATATCATACCGAACACACCGCGACGATGCCTCAATTTAAACAAAGTATAAACATACACGAATGGTTGTCACCAAATTTCCAATAGGAGTGGTGATGACTCCATAGCGCCAGTTGTGGCGTAGAGATATTTACTCAAAATTGAGTACATAAATAAATCATAATCTAAGCAAATATTGTCACTAGTCGAATTTAAATATTTTGAATGTGTAAGTTGAAACGAATCTACCAAAAATTGCCTGATAATTAAAGAAATATGCAGATATCCATTATATCATGAGTGCGTTTGTAATCCAAATTGTAGATCAGGAATGGCGCATCAAAAATTTTATTTTTATTATGGAAAATATGACTGTGGGTCATAGAAATTCAATGGGTACCAGCACCGGTATGAAACTTGCTGTGTTGCATCTTTTCCGCAAGTCTTATACTTATACCGTCGGTTGGTATTGTGTAGTATTGAGCTTTACATAGCAGCACTATTTTAAAGAGGCAATTTCAGGTACGCAATATTACTAAATTCATGCGCGAAAACACGTACTGCATATAAATTATATGAAAACGTTCATAATACGTTTCACAATACGGAAATTTTATGAAATGAATTCAAAAAAATAACAATGATAATTTTTAGTCGACTTCAACCGCATTAAAATCACTGCCATCCAAATTCATTGTTTCTACAAATTTACGCGGTAGTTAATTCAGGTCTTTTGTTTTTAAAACGGCGGATTAAATAAACTGCGAAGCAGCATTGTTGTCAGCAGATGCACGCTGGAACCACTATTTTTCGCCTATTGTCAGATTGAATTAACGCTTCCATAGATTTTTATGACTAATATGTTACTTGCATTAATTCGCGCGCGAGTTGGCGGGTCACCTCCTGATTTAAAACCATTAATATCTTGCATAGTTGGCCTGTGTGAATTACCCCAATGTTTCATTCAGAAAATCGCGTACAACATTTTGTTGTACAAGTATTGATCCTGCACATGTTTCATCTAAAGAGGCTTCTGGCACACGTGAGAGGATTGAATCGGAGGAGTTTCATTGTTTCGGGAGGACTTTTTGCTTTGTATATAATAGGTATAAGTTTATTTCGACTGCATAATCGGCATAGCAGACGATAAAATAGTGGATAGAACAAATAAATAATGCGGGTATCGCTGCAAACATTTGACTTATTTAGTATTATCGCAATGCAATTGCGGACACATTATGATCATCTATTCTTAAGAGTGTTACTTGCGCGTAACAGAAGCTGATGAACATGAAAATAGGCCGAAGGATTTATGCATCGAAAAAGGTCGAGAACCGCTGCCTATTTTATCTCGGGGATCAGTGATTCTTTGTTTAGCATAAAACGATTTTCCAGTACTTGGACATTTTCGGCGCATGAGATAGAACCAAAATGAAGTGACATAAAACTTGGTACCGGTACTGATATTAATATATCACAGGATATCCAATCAGTTCTTTAATATGTTCCCAACCAACTCCAAGCTTGCCCCAGAAAGTTTTAAAGGATGAACACTCGAGAGATTTGAGAATCCATTATTGTGTTTATTACATTGATAAAAAAGAAAGTAACAAATGCACGGAATATGCACAAAGCAGTGTGTACACAAGATGTAGAAATTTTTGCCAAAGGCAGGGTTAATAGAGTAAGCTTTCTAAACCTATAAAACAATTGTGCTCAACAGATTCTGTATTATGGCGCAAC